ACATAAAGTATATAAAAAATTTAGGGTCATTGTTTATACACCCATGCTATAAGAATTAAAGGAACCTAGCTAGTACTTGCCATTTCGTGTGTCTTGCTTGTACACTAGCTTAAGTATGGTCAGGTTACTTACCCTGCAATCTAAAAATGTCCCAGTGATCTGGGTGAGTGAACTACTTAATTATGTATTAGATGCCTAGACTTTCAGAGCACCAAATACATTTATATTACTTCTGTGTACCTCCTGGTTTCTTAGAGCCGTAATTTTAAAATTAGGATTTCATCAAATATAAAAATTTTAGTTTATTGCTAAACAACTTTATAGAAAACCATAAACTTACACTTCCACCAGCACTATACAAAAGGTCTCACTGAATAATTGCTGAATTTTAAAAGCTTTTGCCAACTTGACAGGCATTCTATTTAAATTTGCTTTTTAAAGCTTAACAGTTATTCACTTTTGTTGCCTATTTGGGGCATTTTCCTCCCCAAACTGAGCTCTATTAAATACATTATATACTGGTTGTAAATACTAGTACATATTGAAATTTTCAGAATTACTGTATGATTTTTTTTTAGTTTATTCTTGCCCTTATTTGGGGGCCTGTCATGCACTTCAATTATAGTATATCCCTTACTATTGGGAAGAAACCCATTGGATGACACGTCAGCACATTAAATGTGTGACATTCCTTATCTAACCAATCTTATTCAAATGTACATTTTAGTTGTTTTCAGTTCCTTAAAATTCTGCAAGAATCATCCTTGTACACAGAGGCAGTACAGTTATAGAGTTTAGGAGGAAGACTTTTGAGGCCACAAACCTCCATATTCAAGAATCTCAGCTTTACAAATAATCAGCTGTGTTATCCTGGGCAATTTACTTAAGTGCTTCAGTTTTCTCATCTATAAAATTGTAAAGTGGTGCTAACAGTATCTACCCTTATGGTCATTACCAGAATTGATCCAATACTGATTGTAACAGGGCTTGGCGCAAGCACTACTTAACCTGTGCCTACTCAGGTGCGTTAATTTTAGTTATTAGCAAATCTCTAAAATAAAATTGTTCCTCCTTTATCTTATCAAACTAGTATTTCCTAGTATGGTAGACTGCTAGTTCTCACCCTAAGTCTTTTCTGTTTCTACCGTTAAGTTTTTTCTTGAGCCCGTGACCACACAGCTTGGATGACAAACTGGCTATCTTTTGCCGCTGCTAAACATAGCCTCAACACACAAACTGACCAATGGGATGTTAGTAGTAATAAAACGTTAACTTCATAAATTAGCTTCAGTATCTCAGCGTGTTTCCCAGACACCCTTTCTATTTCCTCAATTGGGGAATGAGCACCAGAGCAAGCAACTTTGGATCTAGAAATGGAAGCTACCTTCTGAGCATGGCAGAATGCCTGCCTCTGGACAGCTACCCAAAATAAAAGTACGTATTTTTTAGGGGTCCTTGTTTGCAGCACTTAATAATCTGCAGCCTCATATGCCTAGTAAATGAGTACCAGAAACATAAAACATACGCTACAAAAAAGGCCCGGGGGGGGCATCAATATCTGGTTTTGCTGAGGAAGGAGACCCCTTCCTCTTAAGCTTCTAAAACCACTTCCCTTGAGCCTTCTACATTGCATTTCAAAAGAAGTAAAAGCTGAAAATAGAAGGCACAAGGTCAGTGGGGGAGACAAAACCAGTGCCACTAGCTGGACCTGAAAGTTACAGATCAACTCCCCCCCCCCCCGCCCCCGCCCCAGTTCCTATCCTATAGATCACAGGCATAGTATGGAGGAATCTTCCCTGGAAGGCAATGTTCTTGCTTAATCACGATTAGACCTCCACCTAAGTCACGTACCCCTCGCTTACCTCATCAATCACGACTCTCTCACAGGTACCCTCTAAGACTGTGAGCCTTTAAAAGGGGCCAGGATTTTCTAGTCAGGGAGCTTGGTTCTTGAGATGTGAGTATGCCAAGACTCCCCCCCGCCCCGCCCCAATAAAAAGCCACTTTCTTGCACCAAGCCCTGTTACAACCTGGTGTCCGAGAGGTTTTGTCTGTGGCATGTCCTGCTACATTTCTTGATTCCCCGACCAAGCTGGAGACAACCTATTAGGCAGTTTGCCTTGCTGTGCAGAGCATCCCAGCGGAGGACTCCAGACCGCTTGGGCAATGCAGGTCCTGAGTGCTCCCAGGTAGACATTTGCCCCAGTGGAACGCTTTGCCAGAGTGGGGCAAGGTAGGCCCCATGCAGCGGATCCACGCAGAGGCTTAACACCGGGAAGGAACCAGCACTGGCAGTCTAGACGACAGAAACATGGTAGGACTGGTCCTGGGAAATTTGCCCACCTCCTTTAGATGGAAGCCTGGCCTAATCACCCACGTGTGCTGAATTTGGCACTCCTGAACACAACTCGCTCTCTATAACTAACCTTGGAAGTCTTGCTTTTGGTTTCAATTTAGGTGGCGGGAGGTGTATGACTGTGTAAGGGGCCCAGTTGGATCCCGAACATGAAAATGAGAACGAGAGTGAGAACTCTCAGTAGTTATACGTGAGGTTCTCAAAGAGGGGGTGAGGAAGAAGACCCCTTCCTCTTAAGCTTCTAAGACCACTTCCCCTGAACCTTCTATGTTGCATTTCAAAAGAAGTAAAAGTTGAAAATAGAAGGCACAAGGTCAGTGGAGGAGACAAAACCGGTGCCACTAGCTGGACCTGGAGGTTACAGATCAAACCCCCAACCCTAGTTGCCATCCTAGCTATAGATCACAGGCATGATGTGGAGGAATCTTCCCTGGAAGGCAATGTTCTTGCTTAATTACGATTAGACCTCCACCTAAGTCACGTACCCCTCTTTTACCCCATCAATCACAACCCTCTCACATGTAACCTCTAAGACTGTGAGCCTCTAAAAGAGGCCAGGATTTTCTAGTCAGGGAGCTCGGCTCTTGAGACGTGAGTTTGCCAAGACTCCCGGCTGAATAAAAAGCCACTTCCTTTACAAAACTGGTGTCTGAGAGGTTTTGTCTGCGGTGTGTCCTGCTACATTTGTTTTTGAGACAGTCTCATGATCTCAGCTCACTGCAACCTCTGCCTTCTGGGTTCAAGTGATTCTCCTGCCTCAGCCACCTGAGTAGCTGAGATTACATGTGTGCACCACCATGCCTGGCTAATTTTTTGTATTTTTAGTAAAGATGGAGTTTTGCCATGTTGGCCAGGCTGGTCTTGAACTCCTGACCTCAGATGATCTGCCCACCTCAGCCCCCCAAAGTGCTGGGATTACACGCATGAGCCACCATATCTGCTCAATATCTAGTTTAAAACAGTATTTTTAACATAGCTAGAAATATAACTATATTTTTAAGCAGAAAAAAAATTCTTCTGATAGCATCATTAGTACAAGAAAACATTTCTATTTTAAAATATTGAGTTGAAAATAATGTATTTTATATTGTGGAATTTAAAAATCTAAAAGCACAGGACACGTTTTCAGAAAAGGAATTTTACTTTTACCCACTTATGGTAATATTTGCAATATCGGAACATAATTAGGTTAAATAAATCAAATAAGGAATCCAGAAAAAACTGTTGTTAAGCCAAGTACACAACTGGCAATTCTGAGAAAGGAGGACACACATTAATAAAAAGAACACGCTAGCTCAAATGCAAGTTTATACGGTAAGTGTTTTTAAAGGATTTTAAAAGCTCTATCAGCATAATAGCTTTTTCTCATTTACGTTAACAGAAGCATTTCTGTCTGCTTGTGTACAGCAAAAGGGTTAGAACCTGAATAAACTTATTTATGATTTCAGAAATGTGCTATTTTAGAAATGTACTCCATAGAATTTACTTCACTGCTCCTACCACTGATTCTTCAAATAAGCAAAGTACGGAAGGTCTTATCCCTTGAAAATGTTTTTAAACACTAGCACTTTAAGTTGAAACATTGGTAGAAACGTAGCAATGTCAGGTACAATGCCTATACTTAGTCTTATTTAAAATAAGAATTGAATGCACAACAGAAAATTTCTCATTTTCTTTATCATTGGAGGGAAGGGAAAGCAAGCAAGCAGAGGTGGGGGTATTGTTACACTATTTAAGTTAGAGCTGAACACAAAGACAATTGAGTCTTTCATAGTCTCAACAATTCCACAATGAGTAACTGTGGATTATCTCATGTATAATTTACATTGGATCAAAAAAAATGGGTTCCCCTCTGTATATCAATTTAATTCAAACCTTATTAACTTCAAAATACAAAGATGAATACTACAAGATAAACTCTAACTGCAATAAGTATTTTCTAAGTAGAAGACCAAACACCAAAGGGAATCCCTCTTTCCAATGTCTTTTGACGTGACAAGATTTTGCCAGAGTGGAACTTAAATAAGCATTCTCATGGCCAAGTAAGAAACTACAGTTGTTATGGGTATTACCCTACAATTACCATATGTATTACATATTAAATTAAACTCAGCATTAAATATGCTTGCATAATTATGCTGTTAATGATGATAGCAGTCATGATACTTGTGGAAAAGGCCTGTCTGTAGCCCAAGAAAAGTCAGGGAGAAAAACCTTAACAAGCAGAAAGCAGACACAGAGTTGGGCATTTTTTGACTAGGAAAGATAATTTTAAGCATAGAAATATAAGAAGAAAAGTACTCCCTTATTTCTCCTATGTGGAAATAATATGATACATTTATTAGATATACTAGACAAGAACAGAACTAAGTACTCTGCTGCAGCATTACAAAAAAATCATCCCTTCACCACAGTGTAAGATTTAAGGACAACCTGCCCAAGGATGCATGTTATATAAAACACAGCAAGATTGCTGCTGCCCTGCCAAGTACTTCCAGTCTCTACCCAGGTCCTACTGAAATACTGGTGGTCCCAATTAGTTTTATTGAAACAAATCTTTAGAGAAAAAGATAAAGCATTTAAGAAGACAAGTAAAAATGCTTTAGGAACCACATATCCAACACAAACTTTATCCTCAAATGAGTTATGTTTGCCTCGCACTAATAAACTTTTATTTCACTCAAATTAGAGCAAAAATCTTCTATACATTCAGTATCTTCCCTGCCCAATAATTCAAAGAAAAAAAAAATCCAAAATGAGTAGTAAAGAAAAACATAAGAATTAACAGACCCTTTAAATTTGTTTTAAATATTTTTAAAGTTAAAAAGTGTTTAAAGTTTGTAATTCCTAGTAGGAAAACATTATCTGAATGAATACCCTAATGGCAAACCACTGTAAAATGCTTCAGCTGCATTTGGGGGAGAGGAGTAGGGATTATCTTCAAAGCACCCCAGCTCTCTTGATGAGAGGGTCAGAGGTACATTGGTTTGTATTATTGCGACATCCATAAGGTGATTTAGGTTGCTTTTCCTTCAGCAAAGGCTTTATTTATCAGAAGGGCATTATGCTTGACCTCCAAATTTGGCTGACAATTTGCTGATAAGATTCATAACCTTTGGGTTGCTCTGGTATTTTGACATATTTGCTGGGTTCTGAGCCACATCCTGGAAGGCCACCATAACTTCTGGATCCTGAAATGAAAGGGTTTGTTAGTATTTAAAAGGTGTCCTACTTACAAGGTAAGTTTATTATCCTGAAGTCCATCTATTATTTAAACCTAAAAAGGGTTTGTTAGTATTTTTAAAAGTGTCCTACGGGGTCAGTAAGCTTATTATCCTAAATTCCATCTATTATTTAGACCTGTAATTTGGTCATGGGTTAAATGGGGTTTAGAAAAGTCCCTGAAGTAACAAAATCAAGCTGAATTATGTCATTTGAACTACATGATGAAAAAAAGCACATAGAATTTTGATACTAAGAAAAGAACTGGATTTAATTGCCAACTATTACTAAGTATTTCCCAGTTTTCAAAATTTAAGTTATTCACTCTGCATAAAGAAAACAAATGTCACATCTGCATAATTAGCTATTTGCTAACTGTGATAAATAAATAAATAGCTACAAGAATAACCTTTGTCTCCACACAGAATTATCAAAGAACTGCCTTAATGATACAAAGTCCAAAGTTTTTCTTCCAAGTCTTACCTGCATGGCTGCAAGAACCTCTGGATCACTAAGAATTTCATTGAGTCCAGGCATTCCGGCCATTCCAGGCATGCCCCCTCCCATTCCGGGCATTCCTCCAGGAAAACCACCAGGCATTCCCCCAGGAAAGCCACCTGTAATAAAAAATAAAAATAAAATAAAATAAATAAAAAATGAAAGAACTGGGTAGACACTAATCATACTCCTAAATATTCTGACACAGTATTTCATCCACAAAAAGTGCGGGTTCAAAGAATAAGAGTTCCACTAAGCACAAAGTAGTCTGAAAATTCTAATCAGATTGCAACAAGAAACAAGTTATAGTTTCTAATTATCTCTTAAAAAACAAGGCTATAAATCAGGATTTGCTACCTCCTAGATTAACTTTTTTCTAGTAATAATACTGTTTTTGTTCGTTTTGCAACAGTCTTGCTCTGTCACCCAGGCTAGAGTGCAGTGGTGCCATCTCGGCTAAGAACAACCTCTGATTCCCAGGTTTAAGCAATTCTTCTGCCTCAGCCTCTCAAGTAGCAGGGACTACAGGCATGTAGCACCACACCTAATTTTTGTATTTTTGGTAGAAACAGGGTTTCACCATGTTGGCCAGGCTGGTCTCGAACCCCTGACCTCTGGTGATCTGCCCGCCTCAACCTCCCAAAGTGCTGGGATTACAGGTGTGAGCCACTGCACCTGACAACTTTTTTCTAGTAATAATGCTGTTAAAAAAGACTAATCTCACCTTAAAGAGTCATCTAACATTCCCTAAGATTACAAAGTTAGCTGTTTTGATTATCTTTCAACTCTCCATTCTTGAATACTTGTCTGTTTCAATTTAAAATTAATTCATAGGAATTTAGGTTTTTGTTTCAAATATACTCATCTAGTATAGTTGAGTACCACTACTTAAACTGCTTGTTTATATGTTGCTTTTTCATTTCCATCTCAAATAAAATAAACCAGAAACCTGCATTTTTAACAAAAGTTCCTGGTGCTTCTTTACAGAGAATAATGCTCTAGCAAAAAGGTTTGATTCTCCCACTGTAATTTGTTAGATTATAAACCCAAATAATCTATTCTGTTCTTCAGTATCATAAACCTATATGTCCACTGGAGATATTCTAAAATCACTATTAATAATATAGGGAAAGAGGCCAGGCGCCATGGCTCATGCCTGTAATCCCAGCACTTTGGGAGGCCGAGACAGGCAGATCACAAGGTCAAGAGATTGAGACCATTTTGGTCAACATCGTGAAATCCCATCTCTACTAAAAATACAAAAATTAGCTGGGCGTGGTGGCATGTGCCTGTAGTCCCAGCTACTTGGGAGGCTGAGGCAGGAGAATTCCTTGAACCCCGGAGGCAGAGGTTGCAGTGAGCAGAGATCATGCCATTGCACTCCAGCCTGGGCAACAAGAGTGAAACTCTGTTTCAAAATAATAATAGTAATAACAAAAGGAAAGAGATAACATTAATATATTCTACAAAGAGTCACGATAAGTAAAGCCGTAATAAAGGAAACACATAATAAAGTCATTTCTACCTGCTTTAACAGTAATTAAAACACAACCATTCATAACTAACAATCACAGAGGAAGAAATCTAAGTGGACCATAAAACAACTTCTAGCTTCTTTTGCTGTTCCTACTAAAGGCTTTGAAAAATTAGTGCCTACCCGTAACAAAATTACTGACCCGAGGCTTGTCAAATCTAAATAAAATGTACGTAACGGAATATTATCTCTAGCACTAGTCCAACATTAGCAGTCATTTTCTAAAACAAAGATTATCTAACAATAAGATTATTTATATTTTAAACAGGAAGTAAACTATGAGCTAAGTTTAATTTCTTACTTTTTCTTGAAACAGGAGATCATCCTCAATATTTGTTCTAGGTATGTTTTCAGTTGCTGTGCACATACTCTTTCAGAATAAAGAACGGATTTTCTAGCCTCATATCATGTAACTAAGTTCTAACCAGTGACATATAAGCAAACGTGGCCTCTAAAAACTTTCCTTAAAAGAAAGCTAGTTACCATTAAACAACAGGAGATAGCTGTTTAAAAAACAAAAACTTAAGTCTCATCCTGATCTTGATATAAATTCCACATTGCCGTAATCAGAAAGTACTCAATAAATCTGCGTGCCTCTTCCGTCTCTTCTATCTGCATGTTAGTCCTGTCCTCACTAGCAGTATCTGATCATATTTGAAAGAGTAGTCCGCTACTTTTATACTGGACTCAAAACATTTTTATGCTTAGTAATTCCATCATTTCTTTAACCTATAGTATCTTCATGAGTATCACTGTATAAGAGAACAAAATTAGCATATCACTTTATAATAAACATTATTTAAGTATTACATTAAAATATTACTGTATAACAGAACAAAACAGTTTTAACTTTTTAAAAAACATACCTGGAAAAGAGCCATACTGAGCTCCTGACTGTCGTCTGGCTTCTTCCTCCTTTAATACAAAAGGAAATGTATTATATAATAGAAGAAATAAGTGCTGTCCATGCAAAACCATGAAAAAACTGTAAAATAACCTAGTAGATGGCAATACTGAACTAAAGTATATACTCTATATCGCCTTCAAAAATTTTTTCCAAATGGATTCTCAGTGAGCATTATTCTTGGTAATAATTTCAAGTAAACGGTTTTACTTCTATTCTGGAAACGAACAAACCTGGAAAATAATTTACAGTGCTAATATGAAAACTATAAATTCATCCTCTTTTTTTTTTTTTTTTGAGACAGTTTCACTTTTGTTGCCCAGGCTGGAGTGCAACAGTGTGATCTCAGCCCACCACAACCTCTGCCTCCCGGGTTCAAGTGATTCTCCTGCCTCAGCCACCTGAGTAGCTGAGATTACAGGCATGCACCACCATGCCTGGCTAATTTTGTATTCTTAGTAGAGATGGGGTTTCTCATGGTGGTCAGGCTGGTATTGAACTCCCGACCTCAGGTGATCTGCCCACCTCAGCCTCCCAAAGTGCTGGGATTACAAGCATAAGCCACCAGGCCCAGCCTTTCATCCTTGTTTTAAAATGCCTACATGGAAGGACAAGGCTAGATTACCGAGACAGTCATGACTTCTGTTTCCTATGTACATCTTTTCCATACTCTCCCTACACAATAAAAATGTAGATTTATTCATGTTTTGCTGCTTTTTAAAAGACAAAATGAAAGAAAAATAAATTGCCCTCATATGATAGTTATAAAATTATCAAGGATATATAAATGTAAAATTTAAAGATTATGAACTATAACCTTAAAAGTCAAGTATGATGCTTAATATTACATGACAAAAAATTAGAATGCAACATGTTATATAATACAGCCTTATGTTCTTTCATTCAACAATGTCAGAAGTAAGTAGGTAAATTATTGTTATTTTTTAAAGAGGTAGCATCACACTATGTTGCCCAGGCCAGTATTAAACTCCTGGGCTCAAGTGAACCCCCCACTTCAGTCTCCCAAACAGCTGGGACTACAGGCACTTGACACCTTGCCCTGCCAGAATCAATTTTAAATAGCAACACATCCACTGTCGGAAGAGAGGAAGAATCATAATTTAATTAATCTGGCCAAGGATCCTCAAAAGATCAAACAATAATGCCACCACATTTTAATTACTTGACCTGGAAAAACTTGATTTTACAAAAACACAAACAAGAATACAAAGTAGTGAAATAAAAGCTCACTGAAAAATTTAAGACTAAAAATGTTCCCAAAATTAGACACAGTGAAAGTGGACTCCTTATAAGTAATATCATTACTACTTATAGAACTGTAGCCAGCATTAAATAAAAGAGCCAGAAATTAGAATTTTAGTGTCCTAAAAACTCTGTATTTTTCTTTCATGGCTTAGCTATAGGAAATTTACCCTCTGGGCTCTCTCATGCTCTTCTCGAGCCTTCTTAACTCTTTCTATTCTTTCTTTGATCTCTCGCTCTTCACGTTTTCGCTCATACTTTCTCCGATGTTCTGCAATTTTCTGTGCCTAGAAAAAAGAGCGATAACTTAGCCTGCTCCAAAAGCTGAATAGGGTTAACACAAGTATTCTCTGTGGAGAAACGTTTAATTCAACATACAGTTCTGAAAAATGACAGATTTGCCTTGTAGAAAAAGATGTAACACAAGTTCAGGATTTAACAAAACCAACCTCAACTGCATGAGGCACTGTAAAACAGAGGAAAGGGCCTGGGATTTGAAGTTACAGAGAAATGTTATAATCTCAGATTAACAAACAGGTTTCAAACTGCACGACAATTCTTGCCTACTAGTTACTACCAGATACACAGTGTTTAGGTTTCAGAAGGACAGCTGAGTTCAATAGGAAGAGTATTATTAAGGATGTCTGCCGTGGAAGGCAGAGACTGGGAACACATACTCCAAGTATATGCAACAGTATATTTAAGTTTCCATACCCATAAAATAGGAGAGGAAAAAATATTTAGTCTTATCGAATTGCTATAGTCTATATTATAGAGGGAAAACATGTAAATAATGTGTATCAGACACTAGTAAATAGTAGTATCAAATAAATTCTCTGCATCTGTTATTTCCTCAGAGAATAAATCGAAGAGATTCACATTCAACTGTCACTTTAGCTTGTTTACAACTTTGCTGACAAGTTAGCACTGTTATAAGAAAACAGAAAACCAAATGAACTCTCTGGCAGTAAATAAGTTAAATTCCATACAATTTTGACTGCCTTAAAATCTCTGAGAGTAAATTCCTGACAGTTGAATTTCCCACAAAATGAAGTGATTTACCATGTAAATGCATTAAAATTATTTTAACCAACAATTTTACAGAAAAATCATCCTTAAAAGCTGGAATGTTCTACCTTTGGGATTCAGTATTATTTTTAAAAGGCTGAAACAACTTTTTGTTGTTGTTGTTAAAGACAGTCTCGCTCTGTCACCCAGGCTGGAGTGCAGTGGCACAATCCCGGCTCACTGCAACCTCCGCCTCCCAGGTTCAAGTGATTATCTCCTGCCTCAGCCTCCCAAGTAGCTGGGACTACAGGCGTGTGCCACCATGCCTGGCTAATTTTTTATATTTTTAGTAGAGACAGGGTTTCACTATGTTGGCCAGGCTGGTCTTGAACTCCTTGACCTCAGATGATCCACTCACCTCAGCCTCCCAAAGTGCTGGGATTACAGGCATGAGCCACCACGCCTGGCCAGAAAGAATGAAATTTCTTAACTTCTACAAGGCCTTCTTGCTTTGTAAAGTGGCTATGATATATAAGGACACACCACACTCAATCTTGGATAATGCTAATTATAGATTTTCTATTTGTTTCCTTGTTGTAAACCTGATACCTTCTTTTCTATTTCCAATTTTCTGGTTATAATTCCACCACAGGCTTCCTAACAAAGTAACAGACCTTGCTCTAATAAAGCATGATAAATGAAAGCATGAAAACCTAGTAAGATCTCTAGAGTTGAGCACAAACTTCAGCAATTACAGATTTTTTTTTTTTTTTTGAGACGGAGTTTCACTCATGTTACCCAGGCTGGAGTGCAATGGCGCGATCTCGGCTCACCGCAACCTCCGCCTCCTGGGTTCAGGCAATTCTCCTGCCTCAGCCTCCTGAGTAGCTGGGATTACAGGCACACGCCACCATGCCCAGCTAATTTTTTGTATTTTTAGTAGAGACGGGGTTTCACCATGTTGACCAGGATGGTCTCAATCTCTTGACCTCGTGATCCACCCGCCTCAGCCTCCCAAAGTGCTGGGATTACAGGCTTGAGACACAGCGCCCGGCCAGCAATTACAGATTTTTATCTTCCAAAGGTTTGTTTCTTTGCTTGTTTTTCAGATGAATTATGGCTGCCAGGGGTAAGCACTGGAGCAATGGAGTATTAAACTAATGACTTTCCCTTTCTCTACTTTAACATACCCTAGGTTGCACTTCTTTCAGCATTGCACTCGCATCTTCATCATAATCCAGTTTACAGGCAAGGGCAAGATCATGGGCTGCTTCTTCCCAGTGGCCCAGAAGTCTGAAACAGATTTACACTCATTTTAGGAGCGTTTTATACATACTAACCTATGTGGCATGATTATCTTTCTTCCTTACAAAAAAGGATTGTTTTAGAACAGGTTTAAGTTAAATATTAACTATAAACTTTTATAAACTAATTCAATTACTATATACCACTACTAGTTAACTCTGTAAAAACCCCAAAACATTCAAATTTCCTCTATGGTTAACTGTCAAGCTGCTCTTCTACTAAAAGCTAAAATACAAATGAAACCTTTCTTAAATCCAAATGTCACAAAATTTCTAAAAAGTAGGTAGAGCCAAAACTTTCAACTCACCCAAACCAGGATTAACACAATGTGTTAGCTAAGTTTAGCTACCTTCTATGTAACACAGAGAAGAAAATAATACATGTGTACAGGCTTTTAAAAAAACACGTAACAGGTAAACCAGAAACTAAAGGTTGGTGGGGGCAGGTGAGAATGGGGTAGAGGACACAGCAACGGAAATGAGAATTCTCTGGGTATACCTTTTAACTCAGGTTTGACTCTTCACACCTTTAAATGCTCACATACTCGAAAACTAAGTATAAATCAGAAAAATGTAAATAAAGCAAACCCTAAACCTGAATACAAACAGAAATAAGAAGCTGCGGCCAGGCGCAGTGGATCATCTGAGGTCAGGAGTTCAAGACCAGCCTGGCAAATGTGGCAAAACCCTGTGTCTACTAAAAATACAAAATTAGCCAGGCATGGTGGCATGTGCCTATAATCCCAGCTACTTGGGAGGCTAGGTAGAAGAACTACTTGAACCCAGAGGGCAGAGGTTGCAGTGAGCCAAGATTGCGCCATTTCACTCCAGCCTGGGTAAAAGAGCAAAATTCCTCCTCTAAAAAAAAGGGGGGCGGGCTGTGTATTGCACTAACATAAGTTACACAGAAGAAATAAATTCAAGTAAGTTTTAATACAGTTATTTTGACTATATATTTCAAGTGCGATATATATGCTAAGAACATCCCTCACCAGGTGTGGTGGCTCAAGCCTGTATTCTCCAAGCTTTGGCAGGCCAAGGAGGGCAGATTACTTGAGGCCAGGAGTTTGAGAACAGCCTGGCCAACATGGTGAAAACCCTCTGTACGAAAAATACAAAAAAAATTAGCCAGGCATGGTGGGGCACAACTGTTAAGTAATCCCGGCTACTCAGGAGGTGGAGGCAGGAGAATCACTTGAACCCAGGAGGCAACGTTGCAGTGGGCCAAGATCGTACCACTGCACTCCAGCCTGGGTGATACAGTGACACTGTCTAAAAACAAAAAGCAAAACAAAACAGAAACGTTCCAAAAAACCTTCAAACTTTACTTAAGAGATACACAATTTTTAAGGTATTATAATTCTGAAACAATTTTATGTATATCACAGCACTGAAGTAAGTGTAAAACTAGAACAAAAATTTTTACCACATACGTGTCAAAAATACAAACTAAAAAGTAAAACAAAACATTTAATGTTAAATTTTAATAGAAAATATCAGAATTTTAAAATTTACTTTAAATTATTAAATATTAATTTAAATTTCTAGTGTCATAATTTCAAGTTTTTCCTTTAATTCATGATTTAAATTTTAATTAATTTTATTAAAATAATTTAATAAAGTATTAGTGTCATAATTACAAGGTTTTTCCTTTAATTCATGATTAAAATTTTTTTCTAGCTGCTCATTGAAACAACAGTACATACCAGAAACAATGAACATACACAGTGCTCAAATCTTAGTTTCCACTAAAATGAACCATGATTTACCACAGAAATGGCTTAAGTCTGACACAAGCAAAGCACAAAATGAGCTGACTCTGTCTTGTATTAGAAGGGCAAGAAATACTGGGACTAATGGGATTTCAAAAGGATCATCAGTAATGCATGAGCTTGTCCTGTGCCCACATAGCATTAATAGATTTTGTTTCAATTTATAATATTTATCTTTATTATGTGACACCATATAATCCTCTAGAGCTAGTCTAAGTCAGCTAACACAGTTGTCCCAAACATATCCATCTTTATCTCCATCAACATTTGAGATATAAGACCTTTCAACCCATGTAACATGTGAAATTCACTAACGCTTCATCCCCAAGATACAAATATTTATTCATAAGTTTTGCTGCCAGGAATAATTACTAATCGGGTTAAATTCACCTCTTTATGCCCCCTGGCCTTTTCCTAATTTTTCAGGTGGGCTAGCAGTGACTGAAGTAGTTTCAGGCTGGCATACTCCTTTTCCTATACTATACTGATGGTTCAATGCTAAATTAGAGAGTCTGAAAATAAGATAAAATTTGTTGACACTAATAAAAGATCATTATTTTCTTTTCCTGGAATTAATTTTTTTTTTTTTTTGAGACGGAGTTTCGCTCTTGTTACCCAGGCTGGAGTGCAATGGCGCGATCTTGGCTCACCGCAACCTCTGTCTCCTGGGTTCAAGCAATTCTCCTGCCTCAGCCTCCCGAGTAGCTGGGATTACAGGCGTGCGCTACCATGCCCAGCTAATTTTGTATTTTTAGTAGAGATGGGGTTTCACCATGTTGACCAGGATGGTCTCGATCTCTTGACCTTGTGATCCACCTGTCTCGGCCTCCCAAAGTGCTGGGATTACAGACGTGAGCCACCGCGCCTGGCCTCCTGGAATTAATTTTAAATAAAAATCCTTACCTTATATTTGGCCATATATAGTCAAAAACTGTTAACAGTAGCTTTGTTTGAATGAAAGGAGTGAAAATAATTTTTATTTTCTAATTTCTTCCTTCCTATATTCTCACTTCCTTTTTTAAAAATTTCTTTTTTCTTTTTCCTTTTAAGCAGCTGTCTACAAGCTATCTCAATTCTTGATATTATGTATATACTAATTTGAAAATTAAGCCATTAGGAACTTTTGTGTTTTTGTTTAAACAAAGTATCTTAACACATCAGATTTAAATGTAAAGAGTTCTGAAAATAATTAAATTCAATCATTTACCTGTGTGCTTTCCCTCGCCACTTGTAAGGCTGAGCTGAATCAGGATTTATTTCAATGGCTCTGTCACAGTCTCGGATGGCAGCATTTGGCTTCTGTAATTTGACGAAGACACTGAAAAATAAGTGTGATATTAAATAGTATTCATTTCAGTTCGTATCTGAGTCATGGCACCCCCCTCAAAAAAAAGTATTCATTTCAATAAAACTTTTGGCATCAACACAGAAGCAACTCTATTTAAACAAATGTGCAGAAATTATTCACCAGAAGATACTTTCTGTTGAGAGTTCTCACCTGGCCCTCTTGGCATACAAAATGGCCAAGCGAGGATTCAGCTTGATGGCATCTGTGAATAAGTCAATGGCTTTCTGCAATTCACCTAAAGTGAAACAAAAGTTATCAAAAAATATTCAGAGCATAAAAATATTAATAAAGTTTTGATCTCTTATCAAGTCTTTTACATTTTTCTTTTAATCAAGTTAAAAAAAAAAAAAAAAAGACAACAGTCTAAGTTATACAAAAACTGGCTTTTGAAAGCAAATCTTACCACACCTATACTGTAACTCACTTGAGGCAGGAAAATTTCTGGGTACGTAAGCCCCTAACAATAGAATAGCACACTCTTAGAATGACCCATATTGATTTTGTTTAAGGAAAAAAAGGATAAAATCAATTTAAAGGATAAGGTAAATTAATTCCACTGATTTTCTTTTATCCATTAAATTAAAAAGATAAAATAAAGCTTACAAGGGAAAAAGAACCCATGCTAACTTCACAGGGCTGATTTTAAAAGAAAACAATATACTCATTTGAATTCCAAGAAATGGTACAAAAATTTAAGACAACTAGAATTCATAGAAGACCATAATCTATACTTTAATTCACTGTGTCCTATTCTTATAGTTAGCTTTTTTTTTTTTTTTTTTTGAAACAGAATCTCACTCTGTGTGCCCAGGCTGGAATGCAGTGGCACGATCTCGGATCACTACAGCCTCCACCGCCCGGGTTCAAGCGCTTCTTCTGCCTCTGCTTCATGAGTAGCTGGGATTACAGGTGCCGACCACTATGCCCAACTGATTTTTGTATTTTCGTAGAAACAGGGTTTCACCATGTTGGCCAGGCTGGTCTGGAACTCCTGACCTCAGGTGATCTACCCGCCTCGCCTCCCAAAGTGCTGGGATTATAGGCATGAGCTACCATGCCCGGCCAGTTAGCTTCTTTATTAATTCCTTAGTCATTCAACAAAGAAAACATACTATAGAGTCAGAACAGTTCTTTGCACAAAGTCTAATTCTTGGGGAGGCAAGACAAATACAGAGTATTTTTTTTTAAAGAGACAGGGTCTAACACTCACAAAGGCTATAGTATAGTGGCATGATCATAGCTCATAGCTGAAGGGATCATCCCACCTTAGCTTCCTGGACAGCCGGGAATACAGGCCCACACCACTAAACCTGGCTAATTAAAAACTTCTTTTTTTTTTTTTTTTGAGACGGAGTTTCGCTCTTGTTACCCAGGCTGGAGTGCAACGGCACGATCTCGGCTCACCGCAACCTCCGCCTCCGGGGTTCAGGCAATTCTCCTGCCTCAGCCTCCTGAGTAGCTGGGATTACAGGCACACGCCACCATGCCCAGCTAATGTTTTGTATTTTTAGTAGAGACGGGGTTTCACCATGTTGACCAGGACGGTCTCGATCTCTTGACCTCGTGATCCACCCGCCTCGGCCTCCCAAAGTGCTGGGATTACAGGCTTGAGCCACCGCACCCGGCCTAAAAATTTCTTATAGACTGGACCTCAGCGTGTCACCTAGGCTGCTCTCAAACTCCTGGGCTCCAGTGATGCTCCCACCTCAGCCTTCTGAGTAGCTGGGATTACCACTGTGCCAGGTCAAACACAGAAATTTTAAGATAAATGTCACAATTCACTGTGAAAGCTACTTAGCCAGTTAGTTAACGAGTAAAGGACTTGAAAAGAGCTCACAAAAACAACACAGAAAAAATGCTCAGTATTATTATTTACTACTACAGATACCTATTACAGGTAATTACACTTGGATGTCTAATAAGCAACTCAGACCTACCATGTTCAAGATTTAACTTTTTTTTTTTTTTTTTGAGATAAAGTCTTGCTCTATCACCAGGCTGGAGTGCAATGGTGCGATCTAGGTTCACTGCAATCTCTGCCTCCTGGGTTCAAGTGATTCTCCTGCCTCAGCCTCCTGCGTAGCTGTGACTATAGGTATGCGCCACCATGCCCAGCTAATATTTGTATTTTTTTGTAGAGATGGAGTTTCACCATGTTGGCCAGGATGATCTCGATTTCTTGACCTCTTGATCCACCTGCCTTGGCCTCCCAAAGTGCTAGGATTACAGGTGTGAACCACCACGCTCAGCAAATTTTTTTTTTTTTTTTTTTTTTAAGACAGGGTGTTGCTCTGTCACCCAGGTTGGAGTGCAGTGGCAGAATCACAGCTTACTGTAGCCTCAGCTTCTTGGGCTTAAAGGGTCCTCCCAGCCTCAAGGGAACCTCCCATTTCAGCCTCTCAAGTACCTGGGACTACAGGAATGTACCATCACACCCAGTTAATTTTTTGCTTTTTTTTTTTTTTAAGAGATGGAATCTCACTGTGTTGGCCAGGCTGATCTTGGACTTCAGTCCCTCAATGTGCTGGGATAATAGGTGTGAACCACCACACCTAGACAAAACTGAAAAAACTAAATTCCTATTTCCAAACATATTCCCAATCTGTATCTTCCCAACTAAATAAATGGCTCCCCCATACATTTAATTCAGGAGTTGGTAAACATTTTCTGGAAAGGGCCAAATGAGAATTATTTTAATCTCTGCAGACAATACAATCTGCCACAACTACTTAATGATGCTGTTATAATGGGAAAGCAGCCATAGTTTAAGGGCCAGACCTGAGATTCAAACCACAGCACTCTGGCTCCAGACTCTACACTTTAACTACATTCTCCAAACAGAAGTACAAGTACCTTCACCAACTCTTAGTGGGGCTTGGATTCACAATCCCTGATTTAGAAATCTAACCTTTTATCCTTTAGGATATACTATAAAATTGCACAAATTCTAAAATGAGAACTAGGTTAAATTTACAGTCACATGAACAGAGTTTAGAAAAAAAAATAAGAAAACAAAAACATGATTTATTAATAGCCTCCTCATTTTCATTTTGTTACATATTGCTGAGACGGTAAATTTAAAAATGGACGGTATACAGTGCCTCCCACCTGCAATACTAGCACTCTGGGAGGCTGAGCTGGGAGGCCTGCTTGAGGCCAATTCAAGACCAGCCTAGGCAACAGGATGACACCCTATTTCTACCAATAAATAAATAAATAAATAAATAAATAAATAAGCCAGGCATGCACTTGTATTCCCAGCTACTCAGGAGGATTGCTTGAGCCAGGAAACTGAAACTGCAGTGAGCCATGACCATGCCACTGCACTCCAGCCTGAAGGCAGAGTGAGACCCTGTCTCTTAAAACTTAGGTGGTAGGAAAATTAGCAAAAGTTTCACGTGAAAAAGAAAAGGAATGGTATAGAAGAGCATTCCTTTGTGGCTGGGAACAAATTGATGGGTATGAATTAAAAGCTGAAATAGGCCAGGCGTGGTGGCTCACACCTGTAATCCCAGCACTTTGGGAGGCTGAGGTGGGCAGATGACCTGAGGTCAGGAGTTTGAGACCACCCTGACCAACATGGTCAAACTCCATCTCTCCAAAAAATACAAAAATTAACCAGGCGTGGTGGCACATGCCTGTAATTCCAGCTACTGGGGGGTTGAGGCAGGAGAACAGCTTGAACCCAGGAGGTGGAAGTTTCAGGGAGCCGTGATCATGCCTTTGCACTCCAACCTGGCAACAAGCACAAAACTTTATCTATCTATCTATCTATCTAATTTATCTATCTAATCTATCTAAATAAATAAGTAAGTTGAACTACATGAAGAAAAGCTTTCCAGAAAAGCAGTAAAGCATAAGTAAAAAAACATTCTCGGACAGTAAAATCTGACTGGAGAAAACAAAGCTGGAGAAATAAAATACGGTGTTTAACTCTGGCAGGTCTATAATCCTCTGATGAAGATCTTAAATACGTATACAAAAGTTCATCACAGGTTACAAGCAACAGAATAGTATAATAAAAAACAGCTCTAAGAAAAAATAACCTAGGGACAGTAAAGAGAAAGTAATAAAGGAAATAAATTTTTCAGCAAAGTAAACTATTAAGACAACTGCAGTATAAAATAGTATAAACATGTACTAAGGAGCTAAATTAATCAGGTGATAGAATCATAAAATGTTTAAAATATGTATCAACTTGGAACATCAATACTGACCTCATTCTAAAAATAACTCCAAGTCACCTTCTAATCTAATAATGAAGTCCAAATGCACATGAGCACTATACAATAGCATCTAGTCAACTATGGCATTGTGACACATTATCACACAGTTATAAAGATGTTTGCATGAAATATTACTCATGCAGTCATAGTACCCAAGTTTATACATGATTCTTATAAATTATAACTGAGTAAACATTATATTTAATACTACCATGGGCCAGGTACAGTGGCTCATGCCTATAATCCCAGCACTTTGGGAGGCCGAGGTGGGCGGCTCACTTGAGGATTCGAGAAATAAGGAATTCGAGACCAGCCTAGTCAACATGGCAAAACCCCATCTCTACTAAAAATACAAAAATTAGCTGGGCACAGTACCACACACCAGTAATTCCACCTATCGGGGAGGCTGGGGCAGAAGAATTGCTTGAACCCTGTGGGCGCAAGTTGCAGTGAGCTGAGATCGCACCACTGCACTCCAGCCTGAGTGACAGAGCAAGACTCTGTCTCAAAAATAAAAAAGAAAATTTAAATTAAAAAAACAAACAAACAAACAAAAAAACTACCATTAAAAAAAAGAATCTTTTGTACCCTTGAAGAGTTAAAAAAAAAAAAAAAAATATATATATATATATATATACACACACACACACACACAAAAAAAAAAATATACTATCAACACTTTCTCACTCTGATGGGATTTTCTCAAGAGGATCTAACATGCAGGGACTAGAAATAAGATTGGTATGCCTAGGGACATCATCTGTCAAGGGTATTACTATGTAAAAAGTTAAGGGTCACTGCTCTAATACTTTTTTTTTTTTTTTTTTTTTTTCCGTTTTAAGGTTTTACCCTTTTTAAAGCCTCTTCTCAGTAGAAAAACACCATGATACAGTCAGGAAATCAGAGGCACTGAATCAAATCAGGATCTGTCCTTGCAGAGGTAAGGTAATTAATACTGAGTGATTTCAGTCTCTTTATCAATGAGGAAGGGGTGGCTGGATAATAGGACACTAACTTCCCCAGTACAGGATAGGTACATGTAAGTTCTCTTCCACTTTATCACTATTTAAGTTATTGCAATAAAGAAGACAATATTCTGACTACCATAGAAATGTAGCAAAAAGATTACTCACCATCATTTAGGGCTTCAATAGCAGCCACTTTCTTATCATTTGCCTGATCTATCATCTCCTCTGTTATCTAGGAAGAAAATGAAAATCATCTTAGAGTTGGGGGGGGGGAAGCATCTGGACTTTCTAGGCATGAGGCGCAGCAGTCACGATTCCCATTTTCATTCATTCTTCTTTAGTCTTCAGAGAACAAAGAGACAATTATGATACCTGATTAGTGAGAAACTACACACAATGGGTTTAACCTTTTATACTAAACGAATTTCACTCCTACACTCTGCCCTAGACAAGACCTTTGCTTAACCTTCCATCCCAACCAAAGAATACCACCTCCTTCCCAGCTATCCATAAATATTAAACCCAATCTCCTCACAAAGAGATAACTAGGCTCCTTTTAAGTTTGAATCCTTAGGCGAGAAAGGTCTCATTCCTTTGTTCCCACAAACAACTATTGAGCCCCCATACTATATAGACAGACCAAACACTGTAGAAGATGCTGACGGTACAAAAATGAATTAAGAACAAAAACATATCATCTGGGCAACTGAGGGAGATCCCATCTCTCCAACAAAAAAAAAAAAAAAAAAGAAAAAAAGGAAAAACCAAATTGGGCATGGTGGCACATGCATCTGGTCCCAGCTACTCAGGAGGCTGAGTTAGGAGGATTGTTTGAGCTCAGGAGGTCAAGGCTGCAGTGAGTCATGATTGCGCCATGCACTCCAGCCTGGGTGACACAGAGTGAGACCTTGTTTCACCCCACCTCTGCAAAAAACAAACAAAAGCTTACAGCAAATATCCTCCTAAAATGGAAAGCTCATCAGTTCTTTAATCACAGGAAAAAGATATATACACTCTATCACCACCAGTGTCTAAACTGAAGGTGCTGGCTAACTCATTAAGAAAGCAATTTGAGGCCAGGTGCAACGGCTCATGCCTATAATTCCAACACTTTGGGAGGCTGAGGCGGGTGGACTGCTCGAGTCCAGGAGTTCAAGACCAACCTGGGCAACACGGTGAAACCTCGTCTCTACAAAAAATAAACATAAAAAGTAAATATTAAATATAAAAATGACTTTTTCTTTATTTAAAGACAGGATTGCCCTCTGCCACCCAAGTTCCAGTGCAGTGGTGCAATCATGGCTCACTATAACCTCCATCTCCAGGGCTCTGCCTCCCCTCCCATGTGGTTTGGACAACAGGCTCACACCCAGCTAAATGTTTTGCATTTTTTTTTTTATAGAGACAGGTTTTCATCATGTTGCTCAGGCTGGTCTGGAACTCCTGGACTGAAGCAATTTGCCTGCCTAAACCTCCCAAAGTGCTGGGATTAAGAAGCGTGAGCCACCACTACTGGCTGCAATTTCATTTTGAAGATAATACAGGACAGAGGACATAAAATCTATATCCAGAGGAAAAAGATGTGTGTGGTCTAACCAGAGACCTTCCAAAATAAATCTGGAACTCCAAATGCCAATACCGGCAAGCATAATGGTATAAGCCTATACTACAGAAATGGACAGTTGAGTAGTGAGATTAAAAGAACTTCCCCTGAAAATTCACAACCACAAGTCAGCCTTTCATTTGGAATTCTTTTTTGTTGCTGTTGTTGAGACGGAGGCTTGCTCTGTCGCCAGGTTAGAGTGCAGTAGCGCAATCTTGGCTCACTGCACCTCTGCCTCCTGGGTTCAAACATTTCTCCTGCCTTAGCCTCCTGAATAGCTGGGACTACAGGTGTCCGCCACCGCACCCAGCTAATTTTTGCATTTTTAGTAGAGAAGGGGTTTCACCATGTTGGCCAGGACGGTCTCGATCTCCTAACCTTGTGATATGCCCACCTCGGCCTCCCAAAGTGCTGGGATTACAGGCATGAGCCACAGCACCTGGCCTCATTTGGAATTCTTTACTACCAAAGTAATTAGAACAAACAAAAAAACATCATGCTGAGAATTTTAAGGGGACTTTGAGTTGGTAGCATCGACTCAGACCTGACGGAAGCAATCACCTTCTTACCTAGGCCTCAAAAATTTTCTACCGGTGAAGATCCAAACAACCCATTTTCAAAATATCACACAAAACACACATACCATAAGTAAACAAGGTACCTTAATGAGCAAGAGCCATGAAAAATAAGACCAGCAAAGAGTTCAACAAGGAATTTAATGTGTTTATTAAAAGTAAATTCTGAAAATGAGTAAAGAGCAAAAGACTTATAAATATCCAAGTAGACTTCAAAAAGATGTGAAGTAGCAAAATGAAAAACAGAAGCATTCCAATTCAAACATCAATGGAACAGAGAAAGCATACAGTGCTTTTTAGCAGAGTAATAGAGAGATGAAAATTAATAAAGAAAAAGTCTAACACGTTATCTGTCCAGGGATGCAGAATTAGGGCATAAACAGAGAGGAGGCAATATTTGAATGAAATAACAGCTGAAAATTTTCTAGAGCTAAAGAAAGTTAACCCTAGAATTTGATGCTCAATGAATCCTAAGCAGGATAAATATAAAATTATAAACCTGAACACATCATCAAATAAACAATACCATCAATAAATAGAACACTTAACCTTTAATGTTTCCTTTCGCAAATGGTGACAGAAAGTACTTATATCTGTTCTTAACAAAAATGCACAAGACAGGTCAAGTGCAGTAGCTCATAATTATAATCCCAGCACTTTGGAAGGCCAGGAGTTTGAGTCTTTGTCTCTACTAAATATTTTTAAAAAATAAACTAGCTGGGCATGGGGGTGGCATGACTATAGTCTCAGTTGCTAGCCGGGCAGAGGCAGGAGGATCATTGAGCCCAGGGGGTCAAGGGTGCAAAGAGCTATGATTGTAACACTACACTCCAGCCTGGATGACAAAGTGAGACCCTGTCTCAAAAAAAAGCACAGGACTTACGGGGAACATGTTAGTAAGTTATTAAAACATTTTAAAAATACTTAAAAATTAGGCATATCTCGTATTTATGGACAGTTAATCTCAATGGTGAGGAGATGTGTCTTTTCCCTGACTTGATTTAGATTTAACACAATTCTAACAAAAGGGAAAAAGCTAATGGGAGGGGGGAGGCTTGATCATCTATTCCCAAAATTTACTTGAAAAAACCAAAAGCCAAGAATAGCCAAAAGACTCTTACTAAAGTTTTAGAAGTCCTTGTTCGACAAAATGACAAAACTTAGTTATCAAATATGTGGCATTAGTGAACAGAAAAAAATTAGACAAGCAGAACAAAAGAGTCCTCAAACAGACCCACAATATATGGAAACAGTGTATTTTAGTATTGGTGGAACAGGTAGATTAAAGGTGAAAGTTATGTGTATAAAATTTTCAGAGGAAAAAACACAATGCACTACAGCAATTATAACCTTAAAGTAATAAAGTAGAAAATATAAAATACTCCTCAATCTACCTGCATTAAAAGATACTATTTTTCAAACAACATAAAAATGAGGGAAGATGACTCACAAAGCAGTAGAAAATATATGTAGCACTAGCAACATATTACTAGCATCCGGGATACTGAAATGAAATACAAAGCGGCAGGGCACAGTGGGCCATGCCTGTAATGTCAGCATCTTGGGAAGCCAAGGTGGGTGGATCACCTGAGGTCAGGAGTTTGAGACCAGCCTGGCCAATATGGTGAAACCCGATCTCTACTAAAAATAAAAAAATTAGCTGGTCATGTTGGCTCACACCTATAGCCCCAGCTGCTTGGGAGACTGAGGCAGGAGAACGGCTTAAACCTGGGAGACGGAGGCTGCAGTGAGCCGAGATTGCGCCACTGAACTCCAGGCTGAGCAACAGAGCAAGACTCAGTCTCAAAAAATAAATAGATAGAAATACAAAGCAATAAGATAAAGATCCAGCAAAAAGTGGAAAAAGGGTTTGAACAGGACTTCATAAATGATAGTGAATAGTCAATAAACATTTAAATATGCTCAGCCTCATTAGGAATCAGGAAACTGCAATTTATTTATTTTTTTTGGAGATGCTCTGTCACCCAGGCTGGAGTACAATGTCGTGATTACAGCTCAATGTAACCTCTGCCTACCAGGTTCAGTCGATTGTCCTGCCTCAGCCTCCCAAGCAGCTGGGATTACAGGTGCCCACCACCACGCTCAGCTAATTTTTGTATTATTTGTAGAGACAGGGTTTCTCCATGTTGGCCAGGCTGGTCTCAAACTCCTGACGTCAGGTAATCCACCGGCTCCACCTCCCAAAGTGCTGGGATTATAGGTGTGAGCCACTGTGCCCAGCCAGGAAAATGCAAATTAAAAGCCACAAAAAGATATCATTTCTCACAAGACTGGCAAAGATGAAATCTGACAATATCAAGTTTTAAGGATACAAACCAATCTTTTAAAACTGCTATTACTATCTTAGAGTGTTTCTCAACCTCTTTTTTATCAGACACCAAGGAGCCTTTTCAGACATATTTTCCTCATATCCACACCCCCAATTTTAATACCACAGATATACTACATATTATATTAACATTCTGAGTCTTTGGAGGACCACTAGCCACTGTAATATGTAGAATCTTTTTCAAGCTATCCTCCCAAGAGCCAATTTTCACGCCCTTGAGGCCCGTTAGGACAAAACCATTTTGGAATACAATTTGGCATTAGATATTCCATTAAGAGGCAACCGCACTAGCAGATATGTATTTTATGTGAATTCTAGTAAGTATGTATTTTAAGTGAATTCTATGTTACAGTGTAAGCAGTCAAACCAGATGCAAATTTAAACACATAAAACATAAAATAACAGTATTTCTTTTATTTATTTATTTTTTCCCACAAGTATTTTAAGTAGTAAAATACAATGCTTGCCTAAATGCCTCAAGCCAAAGACAGATTTACTATGCACTTTTCCTGAAAGAAATGTACTGGAAGAAATGATTTTCATGTCATAAAATCATTGCAACAGCAGAACACTTCACATTTCTTAGAATCAGAAGGAAATCAAGTCACCTAACTTACCTCTGCATTTTCATCTCCCATTTCTTGAGGGGTGTCAGTGTCTGGTTCAATCACACCTTCATTATCAATTTCTGCCAAAGTTGAGAAAATGACAATAAGACCTGCACTGTACAATATAGTAGCCACTTCCCACAAGAGTAAAAACTGATGCACTTACTATGTCTAGTACAATTAATAAATTTAATATTTTATTTAAATTTCAATGTTGATGCATTTTAAAACATGTTCCCATTAAACATTTCATTGCTTTGGTAAGACTACACTGTATGTTAACTGTCATATCATGTAAGTTATTTATCAGCTTGTACTGGGATTGTTGCCATGTGCAGTTTCTGGTATTGCAAAACATACACATAAATACACCACTAATGTAGTCTCTGTCAACAAGCTGATTCAAATAATTTTTTTCTACACACAGATGTACTATGTGTTTTTCAAAAATACTTTATGCAGGTAACACAAGCTACAGTGATACTTTAATGTAAGTCATAAAATATTTTAATATAGTTATATTCATTAATCTCCTTTTTAAAAATAATTTTGGGGGACATAGGATCTTACTATGTTGTCCAAGAAGTCCTCCTACCTCAGACTCCCAAAGCACTAGAATTCCAGGCATGAGCCACTGCACCTGGTCCCTAATTATTTTCATTTTTTATAACTAGCATGAACATATTTTAATTTTAAAATAAAGGTTTACTACTGATGCAGAATCAAGTACCAAGGCTAGTTTTTAAATTTAGTTTCCATACATACAGCAGTGACCAAGGCTAGTATTTACAACCAAAACAGAAAAGACTGAAGAGCAGTATCTTGCAAGTTTCATGTTAAATGACAAGTGTAATTTGTTGCAACAGAGCAAAACAAGAGTTATATATACATAAAAAGCCACTTAAAAATAATAAATATATTTGCAAATAGATAATTTGATGTTTCCTTAGTCAAAAAAAGAAAAATTAAAATCAGTCACCAAAAATCAGAATTAGTGTACAGCAACAACAACAAACTTGTGATGCACGACTGACAAATAATACATAATAAGGTGTACAATGTGCTGTTGTAACCTACAGGCATACTTCATTTTATTGTGTTTCACTTTACTGCACCTCACATAATGAAATGATTCTCACCCATTGTATTAATAACGTATCCATCTCATATATTTATTTATTTTTGGTGAGAACACTGAAGAGCTTGTCTCTTAGCAAATTTCAAGTATACAGTATTATTAGCTACAGTCACCAGGTTGTATATTAGATCTCTGGAATTTATTAAGAATAAAATTAAAAAAAAAAAAAAAAGGAAAAAAAAAGAAAACTCAAAGTCTATGCCCTTTAACAGAGTACAAAAAAAATTTTTAATCCATTTTTAACAGGAACTAAACTTGTCTAACTATCAAAGTTTGATTTGTACACAAAAAAGAAAACACTTTTGGGTGGAGAGTTGGTTAAAGAAATTATTATTGCAGTCTTAGAAATTGGTAGAAAGACTTAAAAAGGCATTTTGTAGGCCGAGCGCGGAGGCTCAAGCCTGTAATCCCAGCACTTTGGGAGGCTAAGGCGGGTGGATCACGAGGTCAAGAGATCGAGACCATCCTGGTCAACATGGTGAAACCCAGTCTCTACTAAAAATACAAAAACTTAGCTGGGCATGGTGGCACGTGCCTGTAATCCCAGCTACTCAGGAGGCTGAGGCAGGAGAATTGCCTGAACCCAGGAGGCGGAGGTTGTGGTGAGCCGAGATCGCGCCATTGCACTCTACCCTGGGTAACAAGAGCGAAACTCCGTCTCAAAAAAAAAAAAAGGCATTTTGTAACAAGTAAAAGATCTTCAATGAAGCACTTGAACAACTGCCAATAGAATATAAGACCTATCTAACAATAGCAAAAATCATTTGATTCAGGCCAGGGGTGGTGGCTCACACCTATAATCCCAGCACTTTGGGTGGGAGTTTGAGACTAGTCAGGAGCTTGAGACTAGCCTGGCCAACATGGTGAAACTGTCTCTCCTGAAAATAGAAAAAAATTAGCCAGGCATGGTGGCACATGCCTGTAGTCTCAGCTACTTGGGAGGCTGAGGCAGAAGAATCACTTGAACCCAGGAAGGAGAGGTTGCAGTGAGCTGAGATTGTGCCACCACTCTCTAGCCTGGGTGACAGAGTGAGACTCAAGTCTTAAAAAAAAAAAAAGATTCAAAATTTGAAAAATTTCAAGTACTTTTCTTTAGGTTCTGTGACATAAGAGATTACCCAATTAATAAACTGGGGTATACTTATACCCCAAAGGACTTCCAAATTCATGAAGAAATGCTGTCAATATGTGGCCAAAAACCAACCAACCAAACTCAGCACAGATATCAATTCTTCTAAATATCAACTAGTTTTATCAACATGGTTGTAAGTGCTAAACAAATATTCTTTGGCACTCAATTCAGTTACTGGAAAACTTTTGGCTAGGCATGTTGGCTCACATCTGTAATGCCAGCATTTTGGGAGGCCAAGGCAGGTGGATCATCTGAGGTCAGGAGTTCAAGACCAGCCTGATGAACATGACGAAACCCTGTCTCTACTACAAAAATTAGCCAGGCCTGATGGCACACACCTGTAGTTCCAGCTACTAGGAGGCTGAGGCATGAGAACTGATAGAACCTGGGAGGTGGAGGCTGCAGTGAGCTTAGATTGTGCCACTGTACTCCAGGCTGGGCGACAGAGTGAGACTCTGTCTCAAAAAAAAAAAGAAAACTTTTCAAGTATGTTTAGAACTTGAATATGTAACCTAACTTTTTCAAATACAAATATTATAAAATTTGAATTATTTTCAATGAAAATGTTAACATCTGAATTGAGGGGTGCTACATGTGTAAAATATCCTCTGGAGTTTGAATGCTTACTATTAAAAAAAGAAGGAAAATAATTTGTTAATATATTAATTACACATGTCAATTTTCAACCAATATAACATTAATATCTGAATTTATTTCATATTTCCTTTTACTTTCTAAAACGTGAATACTAGAACATTCTAAGTTTCATATGTGCCATTATATTTCTATTACACAGTGCTGGCTTAAGTCACTTTAATAAAAATCAACAAAGGATCATATCATGGGTTTTCAAATACAAACCAACTACCATCTCCTCACCTAGATCACTTTCCTCACTTGATGGTTCGTCTGCCTTTAAATCTTCCTCTACCTTCTTACTATCAGGTTTTTCTTCCTAGAAAAGGGAAGGCAAACAGTATTATCAGAATTTAATAATATACCCAATATTTATACTAATTTCTACAAGTCTATGTATAAGCTGTTCAAATATGGCCAGGCACAGTGGCTCACACCTATAATTCCAGCACTTTGGGAGGCCAGGGTAGGTGGATCATTTGAGGTCAGGAGTTCAAGCCCAGCCTGACCAACATGGTGAAACCATCTCTACCAAAAATACAAATTAGCCGGGCATGGTGGTGCACATGTGTAATCACAGCTACTTGGGAGGCTGAAGCAGGAGAATCACTTGAACGTGGTAGGTGGAGGTTGCCGTATGCTGAGATCATGCCACTGCACTCTAGCCCGGGTGACAGAGCAAGACTTTGTCTCAAAAAACAAAAACAAACAAACAAAAAAACCTGTTCAAATAAAGTTTGAACATTAACAATAAACAGTTTACAGATTACAAATAGCCTCATATCAATTCACATTATGTTTTATTGTCTAATTTAGTGAAAATCTTCACAGGGGTTTCTGAGTTTTGGAACTGCAAATAAGAACCTGTGGAACTGTAATAATAAACAATGAAAATTCTAAGAATGTAAAAGTGCACATATGACAGAAAGCAAAATTTCCTTCTCATCCTAGAAATAACCAGGGTGGTTTCTTGTATATCCCATTCTAGGATAGTCTCTCTCTACATGAGACAACTCTATATTTTGTCTTTCGCATTTAACAATGTTGTGTATCTTGCAAATTATATACCATTATCAGCGTACCTTCATCTATTCACTCTACTGTATATCATTAACCATTTTAGGTTGCTAACGTGTTACTTAAAAAATCAGAACTAAAGACCTACCTTATCACAAAATATTTGAGTCCCTATAAAATGTGCAAAGTCTAGGTATTCTAGAATATATTGAAAGATCAGTAATAATTCTAACTTAGAATGTTTTTATAGGTTAAATATAACTTTGCCTTCATACACATTCGCCAAATGGCAAAATATCCTATCTAGGGCTCAGAAAATACCACTCTGATAAATGACCCTTCTGAAAAAAGGTAACTACTTTTGGGCTTTGGCTTAATTTTCTCATTCTCCTTCTTAATAGGCATAACCTCTACTTTAAGATCCAAATAGATAAACAATGTTTAAGGTTCTAAATAATAAAAAAGCTAATTTTCTTATCAATTTAAAACAGCTAATCAGAGAATTTGAAAAAAAAAAAACAAAAAAAAACAGATATGAAGGCAGAAGAGAGAAATAAAAAGCATTCTTGGCTGGGTGCAGTGACTTATGCCTGTAATCCCAGCATTTTGGGAGGCTGATGCAGGTGGATCACTTGAGATCAGGAGTTTGAGACCAGCCTCACCAACATGGCGAGACCCCATCTCTACTTAAAATAGAAAAATCAGCCAGGCATGATGGCATGCACCTGTAATCCCAGCTACTCGGGAGGCTGAGACAGGAGAATCATTTGAACCCAGCAGGCGAAGGTTGCACCACTGCACTATAACCTGGGTGACAGTGGCAGAGAACTTGTCTCAAACAAACAAAAAACAAAACATTCTTAAAAGTGTATTTTCCCCTTCATCTCTCTCTCAACTTCAGCTACTGGTAACTTTCTCCTAATCTTACACATCCTTGCAGCAAATACGCTAACACAACATGATTCACACTCAGGTAGTAGAGCAAAAAAACTACATTATTGACCTGGGATACTTTTTCATTTACTCTGTAAATAATAAATAAAGTACCTACAATGCATATGACACACTGTAAGACAACAATGAAAGCTACAGATGCATACCATCACTGAGCTTACAACTTATAGGCCATACATATAGATATAATTTTTATTGTCACGTATTCTAAAACACAGTAAACATTCAACCCTAAATTTTCAGTTCTAAATCAGATTCCAGAGAATTCAGTCTACAAAGTTTATAAAGACAAAGGGATCTTACAAGATCTTATTTCCAAGTGATCTTGGGGAATCAGGAGTGATAACTGGGGAGCAAAAGTTTAAAAACCCCTAAGAAACCTTGTTGTGTTTTATCATAAAACATACAAATGAAATTAAAACTTACCTTGGTATTTTCTTCTGATTTAGCTTTCTGAGTAGCAGGTGGTATTTTACCCCCCATACTTGAAGAAAATGAGAAAAAAGATATTTGTTTAGAAAATTAAAATTCACTATTAAGCAACGGAACAAATATTTTTTTTTTTTTTTTTTTTGGAGACGGAGTTTCGCTCGTTACCCAGGCTGGAGTGCAATGGCGCAATCTCGGCTCACCACAACCTCCGCCTCCTGGGTTCAAGCAATTCTCCTGCCTCAGCCTCCTGAGTAGCTGGGATTACAGGCACGCGCCACCATGCCCAGCTAATTTTTTGTAGTTTTTTAAGAAGAGACGGGGTTTCACCATGTTGACCAGGATGGTCTCGATCTCTTGACCTCGTGATCCACCCACCTCGGCCTCCCAAAGTGCTGGGATTACAAGCGTGAGCCACCGCGCCTGGCTAAGCAACGTATTTATACCTAAAAAAATGTTAGACATTTAGATGACTACACCTTTTCAAAATTTACAAGTAAACTCTCAATTAATCTGAATGCTGTGGTATTATGATGATTATGTTTTTTCCAGCTTAAAATTTTATTTATTTTGGCTGGGCACAGTGGCTCACACCTGTAATCCCAGTACTTTGGGAGGCCGAGGCGGGTGGATCACGAGGTTAAGAGTTCAAGACCAGCCTAACCAACATGGTCAAACGCTGTTTTTACCAAAAACACAAAAATTAGCTGGGTGTGATGGCACACACCTGTAGTCCCAGCTACTCGGGAGGCTGAGGCAAAAGAATCACTTGAACCCAGAGGCGGAGGTTGCAGTGAGCCAAGATCACACCACCGCACTCTAGCCTGGGCAACAGAGCAAGACTCCATGTCAAAAAAAAAAAAAAAAAAAAATTTACTTTTAGGATTGGTTAATGAACCCCTTTCTTTGCCTCAATGAGTCTAATAAACAATTTATAGCTTCTCTGTGCCCCTTCCCAGAGGAAAAGAGGCATATATATAACATCCAACAACAAAATCATTTGTACAACCTGTTAACTTAGAATTCAACTCAGTACATATATCTGAATCCAAAATTTGAAAACTGAAATTTAGTAATAGTTCAATTAAATTCAAATATGCAGTTTATGAAATAATTATGCAATCATGATAAAATAATTCAAAATGTTTCCTGTGACAGAGATCTACGAGGATTTTTCTTACTTAAATTTGTGTGCCTCTCATATTACAGATTTTCTCTTTATAACCCCGTCAGCCTCATCCATAATACTTCTTGGCCTTACAAACCCTTCTTTCCCAAATTGTCCAGGGCAACACAATTCATTACAAGCAAATAACTAGAAGAGGAGGAAAAAAGATACTGAGAATCAGTGTTATAGGTTGCATTCGGTGCAGACCCTACAGCGTATGGGCTACCGGCAACAATCCAGTGACCAAAATGTTTGGTAGATTTAAGAGCACTCCACAATAGTTGGAAGCAACACAGACGTTATTAAAATTTACCTTAAAAACAAACAAAATAAGATGCCAACATGGGGGGATAAAAAGACATTAACTTTTATGCAAAACAAGGGGATATATTAACTTTGAAAGCAGAAGAGGGTTGGCAAGGTCCAGGCGAGGTGGCTCATGCCTGTAATAACAACACTTTGGGAGGCCGAGGCAGGTAGATCACAAGGTCAAGAATCGAGACCATCCTCATCAACATGGTGAAACCCCGACTCTACTAAAATACAAAAATTAAAAAATTAGCTCACATGGTGGTGCACACCTGTAGTCCCAGCTACTTGGGAGGTTGAGGCAAACTTGCCTGAACCCAGGAGGCAGGGGTTGCAGTGACCCAAGATTGCACCACTGCACTCCAGCCTGGCACCTGGCAACAGTGCGAGACTTTGTCTCAAAAAAAATAAAAATAAAAAATAAAAAGGGTTGGCCAGGCGTGATGGCTCATGCCTGTAATCCCAGCACTTTGGGAGATGGGCGGATCATGAGGTCAAGACATCAAGACCATCCTGGCCAACATGGTGAAACCCAGCCTCTGCTAAAAATACAAAAATTAGCTGGGCGTGGTGGCGCGCACCTGTAGTCCCAGCTACTTGGGAGGCTGAGAAAGGAGACTGGCTTGACCCCAAGAGGTGGAGGTTACAGTGAGCCACGATCATGCCACTGCACTCTAGCCTGGCAACAGAGCAAGACTCTGTCTCAAAAAAAAAAAAAAGAAAACAGAAAGTTGATTCTTTATAATTAGAGTTGTCATATCCACATTTACATTCATTTCAATTGGGTAGAATTCGTGATCATACGGGTATGTGTAGGTTGAATTTAAATGGGTATCAGTTTTCCAAAGTTCTTTTAACAATTTACATTTTTATCAGCAATGTATGAGAATTCCAATTATTCCACACCTTGGCCAACATTTAGCTATCATCCATCTTAAAGACTTCTTTTTAGCTATCCTGAGAGGTGTCTATTGGCATCTCATTGCAGTTGAGTCCCTTTTCACATATTTACTGGTCATCTAAAAAGACTTCTTTGTGAAGTTCAACTCTCATGCAGCTTTCTAAGAAATTGTCTTTACTTATTTGAAGGTGCTGTTTGTACATCGGGCATATGAACCCCTTGTCAACTTTATGTGTTGCTAGTATTTTCTACTACCCTGTGGCTTGCCTTTTCTCTCTCCTAGAGTATCATCTGAGGATCCCAATATGAAGCAAAAGTATAAATGCAAAGTAGCAAATGGAATGAACAGGATTTGGAATTTCTTATAAATACCATTCAAACAAGAAGAATGTGCATACTTTTTCCATTATGTTTAATATGATAGAAAAAAATCTGTTACTCAGTATCCTTAATAAGGAATAGCTCCCATGTCAAAAATAAATAAGATTATATGATCCAAAACATAATAATTTGCAATTCAGCCAAGTAAAATGATTTAATGTTAAGGAACAGGCATACAGACACCACAAAATTCTTTTCTACAGAAAAACTACTCTGCAGAAGAGCAAGGTAATCACCAGTCCTTTGTAGTTAAATTTTAATGAAGACACAGGGTTTCTTATATTGTGTTCTTCCTAAGTTTCAATATGCAGCATCAGGAATGTATTTAGGGTGATATCCAGACATAGTATAGCTTACAGTACACTAACTTTGGGAAGTGATATTCCTGCCAAGAAATGAGACAAAGCCAAATTGAGAGCAAGTCTATAAAATAACTTGCCTATAATATTCAAACTGTCAAGACTATCAAAGTCAAGGACAGACTGAAGAATTGTTTCAGAATGGAGACTAAGAGACATGAAAACTAAATGCAACACATAAATCTGAGGATAGCATGAATGCATCAATATTAGTTTCCTGAGTTTAATGTTTGTAAAGACTTTTTGTTTGTACGAAATACACACTCAGTGGTGTCAGGGCATAATGTTGGCAGCTTACTCTCAACTAGTTCAGAAAAAAGTTTCTTTGTACCATACCTACAATTTTTCTCTGAGCTAGAAATAGCTGCAAAAAACTAAAAACTAAAAACAAAACAAAAAAGATTTACTCAAACTAGATTTAGTTTCTCACATCCCAAATTCTAGTTAACTAATGTAAGAAAATACCAACTCAAAGGCACAGAAATTTCAATTAATGCTTTCAAGACTTAGAACAAGCTGCTTTCTGGCCAAAAACTGCCAACTGGACTTTGGTACTACAGGCTTTTATGTTACACAGTCAAGTAGGATAAGTGTAGAGACCTTGTCACATAGGATCACACAAAACTTTATTCATAATTTTCTTAATTTGATAACCTTCTAATCTGCTTTGTGCTACGGTTATTTATGCACATGTATAAATTGATTGCTACACTCTAAATTCTACATTGAGGGTAGAAATGCACTCTGTTCATTTACAATATTTAGGAAAAGCCACATGCCATGCACTGTGCTAGGGAGAATACAAAGACACTCTCTTCAATCTTAATTACCATCAAATAAAGCCATAAAAGCAAATACAAGATACTAAATTGTTAAACAGGAGAAAATAGTGTGGGATAATGCTTCTGACTTTAAAGAGGAGAAAACAAAAATATCTCAAAACCCAGTTGTTGAAAAGAACAGTCTCCCTGGATCCTCACTGACAACTAGTTCAGAAAGGCTGTTCTTAGTATTTGTGCAATTTAAAAGGTTGTTAAACTAATAAATCCTTAGATTAAATAAAACTAAGCTATAAACAATGCTAGCAATACAGCAAGTAGGCAAATGTACAGTTCTTCAACAGTTAAGCCTGTGAGAAACTGAAATGTTCTCAACTTGAGTAACCCTAATAGTAGGATCAGGCCTAGGAATACGTCTGGACCTGGAAGTCTCCACATTCAGCCCAACCTGCCATAATCTCAAACTGCAGACTGACCAAGGCAAAGAGAAAAACACAAACTCAAAGCCCTCAGAGTTTATAAAAATCTTAAATACAGAAACAAAGAGAAAAACCTAGACCAGCACAGTGGCTTATGCCTATAATTGCAGCACTTTGGGAGGCCAAAGTGGGCAGATCACAAGGTCAGGAGTTCGAGACCAGCCTGACCAAAAGGGTGAAACTGCGTCTCTAGTAAAAATACAAAAATTAGCTGGGCATGGCGGCACGTGCCTGTAAGCCCAGCAACTTGGGAGGCTGAGGCAGGAGAACTGCTTGAACACAGAAGGCGGAGGTTGAATGACCCAAGATCTTGCCACTGCACTCCAGCCTGGAGATAGTGTGAGATTCTGTCTCCAAAAAAAAAAAAAAAGAGAGAAAATGAGCTTCCAGAATAAAGTCCCTAGATATGCCATGATACTCCACCCCACACTTTTTTTTTTTTTTTTATTCAGAGTTTTGGCCTCGTTCCTCAGGCTGGAGTGCAATGACCCGGTATCTCAGCTCACCACAACCTCCGCCTCCCGGGTTCAAGCGATTTTCCTGCCTCAGTCTCCCAAATAGCTGGGATTACAGGCATGCGCCGCCACACCCAGCTAATTTTGCATTTTAGTAGAGAAGGGGTTTCTCCATGTTAGTCAGGCTGGTCTTGTACTCCGGACCTCAGGTGATCCACCCACCTCGGCCTCCCAAAGTGCTGGGATTACAGACCTGAGCCACTGTGCCTGGCCCACTTCACCCCATACTTAAGCCACCTCAGGATGTCACACGAATGTCAAATCAGAAAGAAAAACTGGAATTACCTATGTTAAAGTAAGTATATAACAATTTGTTTTGGGTTTTTTTTTTGGAAATAATATTGCCTGTCAAGCAAAATATTTTGCAGACCTTAAATCAAAATTCTCTACCAAGGCATAATCACGCCAGCAGAAGTCAGGACACTGTTCTTGCACATTTTTAAGACGGACTGTGGCCAGGCTGGAGTGCAGTGCCGTTATCTTGGCTCACTGCAACCTCCACCTCCTGCGTTCAAGCGATTCCCCTGCCTCAGCCTCCCAAGTAGCTGGGACTACAGGCGTGCACCATGACACCTGGCTAATTTTTTTTATTTTAGTAGAGACGGGGTTTCACCATGTTGGCCAGGATGGTTTCTTATCTCCTGACCCCCTGATCTGCCAGCCTCCGCCTCTCAAAGTGCTGGGATTACAGGCGTGAGCCGCTGCACCCGGCCAGGCATGTTTTAATTTTTTCTTCTGTGTCTCCTCTTCCTCACTAGTAAGAACGGAACAAAAACATTCTATCCACTTGATCTAAAGCGAAGCCAGCTAATTCTTCCTGTGATATTTATCTACTTTACCTGGAATTTTAGGTACAATTTATTAACTGCAGGTTCTTTCCTATAATAAGGATAAAAGCATATAAACATCTTAAGAAAGGCTTTTGGATCACCAAGTTGCTCAATTGAGAAAACGACTAAAATCTAGCCCTCAATTCCGAATCCTGACATTTCCCGGTTAAGGAGTCTGCAAAATAGGCTTCTTTTTTTTTTTTTTTTTTTTGAGACAGAGTTTTGCTCTTGTTACCCAGGCTGGAGTGCAATGGCACAATCTCGGCTCACCGCAACCTCCGCCTCCTGGATTCAGGCAATTCTCCTGCCTCAGCCTCCTGAGTAGCTGGGACTACAGGCACGCACCACCATGCCCAGCTAATGTTTTCTATTTTTAGCAGAGACGGGGTTTCACCATGTTGACCAGGATGGTCTTGATCTCCTGACCTCGTGATCCACCCGCCTCGGCCTCCCAAAGTGCTGGGATTACAGGCATGAGCCACCACGCCCAGCCCCAAAATAGGCTTCTTAGTAATAGTCATAAAGTTTATTATTAATACTATTAAATGGTCTCAGAATTTCACATTTAAGTAAAAATCTTACGGTAGTTAGACAACTAGTAGGGAGATAAAGACTGAAAAACTTCTTAGAGAAAAAATATAATATATAACGTTGACAGATTTTTAACAAGTTTTTTCCTTAGAACCAGCTTGTTGTTAAGAAATATTCTTTGAGCTGTTTGGTAATCATGAGTTCATCTTCCCCTACAAAAATATCAGGCCGAGTGAGATGTGGCTCACAACTGTAATACGACCACTTTGGGAGGCGGGAGAGTCCCCTGGGGCCAAGAGTTCAAGACAGGCCTGGGTAACTTAATGTGACCCCCATATCTACAAAAAAAAAAAAAAAAATTAGCGTAATATGGTGGCTCAATCCTTTACTGCTTGCCACCTGGGAGGCTGAAGCAGGAGGATTGCTTGAGCCCAGGAATCTGAGGCTGCCACTGCATGCAGCCTGGACGATACAGCCAAATCCTGTCTCTAAAACACAAAAATCACTAAATCGATAACGTTCATAGTAGCACCTCTTACGAGTCTCAATGGTCTGCATAGTTGCTATTTATCCCTGTGAAGTGCAATTTGTATGTCATCTTTTCAGTTTCCCATTAGTAGTAAGTTTTTTTTGTTTGTTTGTTTGTTTTGAGACGGAGTTTCACTCTTGTTACCCAGGCTAGAGTGCAATGGCGCGATCTCGGCTCACCGCAACCTCCGCCTCCTGGGTTCAGGCAATTCTCCTGCCCCAGCCTCCTGAGTAGCTGGGGTTATAGGCACGCGCCACCATGCCCAGCTAATTTTTTGTAGTTTTTTTTTAGTAGAGACAGGGTTTCACCGTGTTGACCAGGATGGTCTCGATCTCTTGACCTCGTGATCCACCCGCCTCGGCCTCCGAAAGTGCTGGGATTACAGGCGAGTAATAAGTTTTAAAAGTCATCTTAGGAAAGACTTCCCTCTCACTTTTTCTCTCTCCAGTGCTCCTTCAATACGTAAAATGATAATTTCTACTATATAGTAAATATCAAAACGAACTTTTGTATTTATTCGTCTGTATCCCTAAATAGAAAATACTTGTACTGTTTCCTAGCACCCGGCACGATGCCTAGTCAATGAACTCCTTGCACGTAGCGAAGTTCTGTCGAGTTAAAGACAAGAATATATCCTGGAAACATGCCAGGCCTTGAAAAAAAAATCATCTTTCTCAAAAGTGTTTGGAGTGATACCCATGCCAAGTAACGGGGGTATAATAAGTGATTCTCAAGATAATCCTACGCAGTCAGAAGCGCTGTAAGGTAGAGACAATCATCTTTACAGTTATCATTTTTATTCTTACTAAATAATTTTATGACATAACTTACTAGTGTTACATTATTATAACACGATTTAAAGCGATAGTGCGTAAAGGAACTACTATGTACCAGTGAGACCTGAGCAGGGCACACAAGAATAAAAAGAAAAACGACCCCACGCAAAAGCTAAGCCTTGCAGTTCTCACTCCTCGCATCTCCACTGTCCACGGATCCGCAGTCCTGCGTTTTTGTATTTCGCCCAAGAAACACCCCTGTGGAAACCTCAGCGTGCGAGGAATCCAGCTCTGCCTCCTGCTCCCCGCGGCTCCCGTACCACCCAAGGCTCGCGATCCTCTACGGCCCCTCGAAGTTGCCTCCCTTTCCAGGGCAAAAAGCGAGCCACGAAGGGGCGGCGACCCCGCCTCACCTGCCAGCCTGCACCAGTTCCGGCCCAGCTTTCCTTGGGGCCGTGCTCCCCCCCAACAACGGTCCTGAGGCCCGGGTCTCACCTCTCCACCCATTCCCTCAGGAAGCGCATTTCTTCTGTGTGCAGAACGCTTGGATCCTGCTTACACATCTTCACAAAGGCCCGAAGCTCGTTCACTTTTCGGGGGTCCATGGTCGTCAGGCGGTGGGAGAAACTAAGGGTCTGCGACCCGCTTCCAGGCCGAGGCGCTGGCTCGGCGTGACCGCGCAGAAGGGGGCGTCTGCCGCGAGGCAGAACAGACTAGAACCTCCCCGACCGCTGGCTCCTCCCACCCAACGGTCTCGTGACCCCGGGTCCTCCGCTTGCCCCTTCCTACTCCCTCTGCGCTGCTCCTGCGCGCTCCCTAGAACATTCTAGAAGCGTGGCTGTTCGTGCTGTTGCCTGCCTCTCTGCGTACACATTCTGATATTCTTAACTAGGAACCAGCTCCCTGGAGGGGGTAACCCTCGACATGGGCGCCTTCAAAGAGGCGAGAGATAGCAGCCCTTCCAGGCAGCCACGTCCAAGAGCACATTCTGTTGCTGCATGCACTGAGTAGAGTTTAACCCCCGGACCTAAAAAGGGGCGTGGGGCTGAAGGGGCGGTCCCAGCCCCGGGCATGACGTCACATTCTGCGCCGCCGCGCAAGGAAGGCCCTCGAGCGGCGCCCGCCGGAAGGGGAGGAGCGGCTGGTCCGGTTTCCTGGCGACGCGGCGAAGCAGGTGGCACCTTTCCGGGCCGTTAGCCTCTCGTCTTCCCGGCGCGCGAGTTAGGCCGTCATGCCTTGGCTGCTCTCAGCCCCCAAGCTGGTTCCCGCTATAGCAAACGCCCGCGGCGTCTCAGGTTAGACTCTCCTCCAGGTCTCCTCCCGTGGTGTCCCTTGGAGGGACCCAAGTTGGTCTCAGGCGATCCCTGGTTCGGCCGGCCCTTCTCCTGGTGGGGCCTCAGCTCCCCAACCCCTCTGTACCCTTTGCGGATTTTTTCTATATCGGCTGCGCCTGGAAAGGGGTAGGCCCAATGTGTTCTCTACCGTTGAGGTATTCAGTGAAGCCGAAATGACTACAGAGAAAAAAAAGTGTGTGCCATTCCCCAGAGAGGCTGTCTTCCAAGTTACTCGGACTCCGAAGTAGTGACAGCTATCACACTTAAGTGACATAGCGTCTCACATCAAGTAGCTCTTGTTTCTCTTAGGTCAACTTAAAATCCTCTTGTGTTTTCAAATAGTTGATATGAGAGTTTGCTCCAGAGTATACAAGAAGCATGTTTAGTAACAAATTCTTAAAGCAGCTCCTCTTAGAAAAGGTACTGTTTGGAAACACTGGGCTTGAAAGTCCTCTTTGTAAAGACAAGACGAAGGAATAAAGAGAAGAATTTTTGTAGGTGGTCCTATTGTGAGCAATTAATCTGATGAACATAAAGCTTAAATCGGTGAAAACTGTCACTTACCTTGCAGGCGGATCTGCCATTGGATCGTATTTCAGTTTTTTGGGGCAATATATGAACAGTGTGTGAACCAGAACACGTGATTTTGGCATCAAAGCTATGTTTTGGCGTATGTTTATGTTGATATACTTGAATTCATTTAAAATGGAATGTTAATTATATCGACTTTTTACTATTAAAAAAAAAAATTTATTGTCCAGTTCGCGGAACTTCTTCAGTTCTAATAGTAAAGCTGCAGAAAGATGTAACTCTCCATGGAATTAGGTGAATTTTTTTTTTTTTTTGTGACAAGTTCTCATTCTGTCGCTCAGAGTGGAGTATAGTGGCAATCTCTGGTCATTTGCAACCTCTGCCACCTGGGTTCAAGCAATTCTGGTGCCTCAGCTTCCCTAGATAGCTGTGATTATAGGCATGTGCCACACCTGGCTAATTTTTGTAATTGTAGTAGAGACCTGGTTTCACAATGTTGGCCAGGCTGATCTTGAACACCTTCCTGGCCTCAAGCAATCCGCCCTCTTTGGTGAGCCACCGCCTGGAATTTGCTTTTATGTGCAAGGCCCTCACAAACCCTTGAACTCCTTGCCTCAAGCGATCCACTCTGTTTGGTGAGCCACCGCGCCGACCTGGAATTTGCTTTTATTTGAAAGGCTCTCACCAACCCGACTAAAGGAGCCATACTACCAGAAGGAATACTTGCAAAGACACAGAAACGGAATGGCCAGTACTAAGCATTGCAATCATTAAGTATGGCCAGAGAAGCTTTTATTATTATTATTATTATTATTATTATTTGGAAACAGTCTCTCTCTCTTGTCGCCCAGGCAGGAGTGCAACAGCGCGATCTTGGCTCACTGCAACGTCCTCCCGAGTTCAAGGGATTCTCCTCACTCAGCCTCCCGAGTAGCTGGGATTACAGGTGCCCACCACCACGCCTGGCTAATATTTGTATTTTTAGTAGAGACGTGGTTTCACCATGTTGGCCACTGGTCTTAAACTCCTGACCTCAGGTGATCCGCTGGCCTCAGCCTCCTAAAGTGCTGGGATTGCAGGCGTGAGCCACTGCAGCCAGCCTAGGAGAAGCTTTTTTGAAACATATTCTCAAACAAAATAGGCGTTACACCAAAATGATTCTGTGATCAAATATGTTTGGGGAATGCTGCATTGCTGCATTTCATAATGTACATGATAGTCTAATTTTTTTTTTTTTTTTTTGGAGATGGGGTCCTGCCATGTTGCCCAGGGTAAACTTGGACTGGTAGGATCAAGTGATCCTCCCAACTCAGCTCCTCAAAGTGTTGAGATTATAAATGTGAGCCACTGCACCCAGCCCATAATAGTCTAAGTTTCTGAGATTGAGATGTGTTCAGCAGTAATTTGCAAAATGTGTAAAAATATGTTTGACCATGGACCCTTTTTCTGTGATGAGTCTTGAACTGGTATCCCTGGAACACATTTTGGAAAAAGTTGGGCTAGAGCATAAGATGGGTATAAGGAGCTGTGATGGGAAATCAAGTTGGGGAAAAAGCTAGAGGCTGGCTCATGGAGGGCCTTATATATTAAGAAACAATTAGTTTTTTCCTTTAGATGGTGAGAAACCTTTGAGGAATATTAAGCTATTGAGTAAAATGTTTAAATTTTGGCTTTTCTGTTAAGAATGAAGAAATGGACTACAGGGCATATCATTACACTCTTAAATTTTCTGACACTTGCCGGGCGCGGTGGCTCAAGCCTGTAATCCCAGCACTTTGTGAGGCCGAGGCGGGTGGATCACGAGGTCAAGAGATCGAGACCATCCTGGTCAACACGGTGAAACCCTGTCTCTACTAAAAATAAAAAATTAGCTGGGCATGGTGGTGCGTGCCTGTAATCCCAGCTACTCAGGAGGCTGAGGCAGGAGAATTGCCTGAACCCAGGAGGCGGAGGTTGCGGTGAGCCAAGATCGCGCCATTGCACTCCAGCCTGGGTAACAAGAGCGAAACTCCGTCCCAAAAAAAAACAAAACCAAAAAAAAAAAAAATTTCTGACACTAATTTTTGCTTTTGTTTTTGGAAAATTGCAAATTTTTAAACTTTACTACCACATACATGATAACAGATGAACTCTATTAATTATCACATCTTATATAAGAAGCATTTAAAACATCGTGGGCTTTTATTATTTTATTTTGTGAAAATAAACTTTAAATACTAATTGTCCCCAGTCTCTTCTATAGAATAAATGACGTTTCCTCCTCCCATCTGATCTGCCCACTGAAAATTACAGGTGTGAGCCCCTGTACCCAGCCAAGTCTGTTGCCCATTTTTATGGTTATTTCTTGCTTATGTCCTCAACAAGAAGTGGATTATTCATGCTGCCCATTTTAGACTGTATAGGGTAACTTCCTGACATTGTCATGGCATCTGTAAACTGTTAGGGCTCTGGTGGGAATGTAGCAGTAAGGACAACCAGAGGTTACTGTTGTTGCCATCTTAGTTTTGGTGGGTTTCAGCCAGCTTCTTTACTACATCCTATTAGCAAGTTTTTGTGACCTGTATTTTGTGTCAATCTCCTGTTTCACTCTGTGATTAAGACTACCTTAACTTACTGGGAATGTAGGCCAGCCAGTCTTGGCCTTATGTTACCAAACCCCTACCAAGGATAGAGTTGCTGTGGTTCAAACGCCTCTGACACTATGATACAGAGAGAAGCTAGAAAATAGGACATTCTCCTTTTAAGAAATTAATATAGTTTGAGAAAACTAATTTCAGTGGAGTGTAAAGTTGTAACATAAGCACTTGTTTCTGTAGTTATCCCCACTGTGATGATCCCTTGCCTCCCTTCCATCTGCTGTGCCATTTTCTTTGCCTCTTCACAGCAAAACTTATACAGAGTATTGTCTCAGTGTCTGTGCTTTCTTACATCCTGTTCCCTCCTTGGCACACTCCAATCTGGCTTCTATCTTTTATACTCTGCTAAAATTGCCAGAGTCTCCAGTGACTTTGATGTTACTGTATCTAGTGGTTGCCCTTTTGGCTTCCTTATATTTTGGAACACTTGCTACACTGTGAGCTGTCCTCCTTTCTTTCTTTTTCTTTTTTGAGACAGTTTCCCTCTTCTTGCCCAGACTGGAATGGTGCAGTGGCATGATCTCAGCTCACCACAACCTCTGCCTCCTGGGTTCAAGTGATTCTCCTACCTCAGCCTCCCAAGCTGGGATTACAGGCATGCGCCACCATGCCCAGCTAATTTTGTATTTTTAGTAGAGATGTGGTTTCTCTACATTGGTCAGACTGGTCTCGAACTCCCGACCTCAGGTGATCCACCTGCCTCGGCCTCCCAAAGTGCTGGGGATTACAGGCGTGAGCCACCGCACCCAGCCTAGCCCTCCCCACTTCTTAAAACACTTGTTTATTTAGCTTCCTAAATACCATACTTATTTTTTTTTTATTATTTATTTTTATTTTTTGGTAAAGACAAGGTTGGCCAAGCTGGTCCTGAACTCCTGGCCTCTAGTGATCTGTCTGCCTCGGCCTCCCAAAGTGCTGGAATTACAGATGCGAGCCACTGCGCCTGGCCCTAAATACTTGAACTTGCTGGGAATATAACCCAACAGGTTCTAGTTTTCCTCCTTTTTCCTTTGCTCCTTCTCACACTAAAATATTACAGTGCTAGACTTTGTTCAGTCTCCCTGGGTAATACCTGTTCAGTCTCCCTGGGTAATACCCATTCCCCATTCCCAGGGATTTAGATGTCATCTGTGTGCTTATAACACCTTAATTTATATATCTAGCTGGGTACTTTTCTCCCTGAAATTAAGACTGCTCATTTGACCTCTCCATTAAATTTATTTCCAATAAATATCTCCGGCTTTCCTGTTTCATGTAATGGTACAACCATTTATTCACTTGTTCAAGCCAAAAATCAAGAATTATTCTTAATTCCTCTTTTTTCTTTCCTTTGTCCAATCAGAAGCCAGACTCATTGGCTTTTAACTTCAAAATACATTCCAAATTAAGTCACTGGGAAAATAAAGTCAAATAACAAATGATCGCATGGTGGCTTACTTGCACTGTGGCTCACAACTGTAATACCAGCACTTTGGGAGGCTGAGGCGGGCAGATCACGAGGTCAAGAGTTCAAGACCAGCCTAACCGACATGGTGAAACCCTGTCCCTACTAAAAATAGAAAAATTAGCTGGGTGTGGTGGCAGGCACCTGTAATCTCAGCAACTCAGGAGGCTGAGGCAGGAGAATCGCTTGAACCCAGAAGGTGGAGGTTGCAGTGAGCTAGGATTGAGCCACTGTACTCCAGCCTAGGTGACAGAGCAAGACTCCATCTCAGGAAAAAATAAAATAATAATCTCTGCTTTCAAATATTGTTCATAATAGACTGGCAAACTAGCAATTACGTGAAGGTATTAAAATAGAAACTATAGGAGCATTGAGGAAGACATCTGAAACAGAAGCAGTAGGTATGAGAAGTATAAGAGCAGTCTTCCTGCATAAGTGATGTTTGAGCTGAGTTTTTAGAATTCGTGTAGTCATGTAAGCATGCAATGTCCACTTTAAGAGAACTGTCTTTTTTAATGTAAATGCTATTATGATACAGAATGATTTAGCCAGGGTTCTTCAAGTAGCTTGGTGTGGCTGCAGTGTTTTTTGAGGATTAGGTCAGACAAGGGAGCAAGATTCAAATCATTAGGTTTCCTAAGCTAAAAAGTTTGAAGCTTATGAATGAATTGGACATTTTTGAAATAGGACTTAACACACCAGCTTTGCTACTAATTATATGACTTTGGGCCAAAGCATATAGCCTTGTCATTCATGTGTCTTTCTTTGCAGATGTTCCAATCATGTGCAAATAATTTTTTAATTAATGCTAATAGTAATATTTGTTGTACTCCAACTATGATTAAACATTTTTCATAAATTATTTTATCTAGCTCTAACATTTCAAGATTAAATGAGATGGCATGTGCGTATTTTCTCATGCTTAACATATTCTCAATAAAAAATGTTAATTATCTTTTCCTGAGTTATAGGACCCAGCTTTATGCTTTTTCCTGAGTTTGGGGGCACAGCTTTGTGCTATCTCTGTGATATCCTTTTGCACCCTTCCCCATTTCTTCTGTTTTCATAGCTCATTATTCGTCCCTTTATTATATATGTATGTGTGTATGTATATAAAATATTATAGCAGACGAATGTCTCTGAGGGTAAAGATGATCTCATTTCTGTTTTTTTAGGGCCCAACACAGAGTCTGGCACAGAACAAAGACCATATAAATATTGAAGGCAAGAGCCGGGTACAGTGGCTCTTGCCTGTAATCCCAGCACTTTGGGAGGCCAAGGCGGGTGGATCACTTGAGGTAAAGAGTTCAACCAGCCTGCAACATGGTGAAGCCCCATCTCTATAAAAATTAACCAAACATGGTGGCGCGCATCTGTAATCCCAGCTACTTGGGAGGCTAAGGCAGGAGAATCACTTGAACCTAGGAGACAGAGATTGCAGTGAGCTGAGATCGTGCCACTAACTCCAGCCTGGGTGACAGAGTGAGACTCTGTATTAAATAAATGAGGGCTGGGCTCAGTGGTTTATGCCTGTAATCCCAGCACTTTGGGAGGCCGAGGCAGGTGGATCACTTGAAGCCAGGAGTTCAAGACCAGCCTGGCCAGCATGGCAAAAGCCCATCTCTACTAAAAATACAAAAATTAGGCAGGCATGGTGGCATGCACCTGTAATCCCAGCTACTCAGGAGGCTGAGGTGGAAGAGTTGCCTAAATCCGGGAGGCAGAGGTTGCAGTGAGCTGAGATCGCACCACTGTACTCTAGCCTGGGCAAAAGAGTGAGACTCCATCTTATAAATAAATAAATAAATAAATAGAGAAGGAAATATTAATTTGCATTTTTCTAAAGCATCTAAAGTGCTGGAGATAGATAAGTGTATTTATACCATGAAGTGTATCAAGATCTGTTGTTTCATTTCATCCTCTTTAATCTTCTTTCAGGATGTATGTTGTGTGCACAGCGAAGGTACTCTCTTCAGCCTGTCCCAGAAAGGAGGATTCCACACCGATACTTGGGCCAGCCCAGCCCCTTTACACACCCACACCTCCTCAGACCAGGTAAGGCCTTTTAACTATACTGCCTTTCATTTAGGTTCTGTCTAGAGCAATGCTATTCAGTGGAACTTCTTGCAGTAAGGTCTGGACCTGTACTGTTCCATAAGGTAACCACTAACCTTCACATGGCCATTGTACACTAATAAGGTTGCTAGTACAGCTGAGGAACTTAACTTTTTATTTTACTTAATTTAAATTTAAACTTGAATAACTACATGTGGCTACTGGTGCTTTATTGCTAGTACTAGTCTAGAACAAGGTTTAAATAGGATAAACCTTATAATTCAGAATAATTAATGAAAGGTACATATTTCAGGATGTTTTTAAAGCGAAGTTCTATTTCTAAGTCCGTTTTTAGAACTGTATACTATTATGAATTACTGTGTTAAAGACATTTTAGAAAACATGTTCTTCTTCACTTTATAATTTTAACCTATTTCTATGTAGATTAAGCAAGATTTCCAGATCTGTTTGTCACAGATTTGAGAGGTAGTATCCCAGTTAATAAAGGTGATGCAAAAAATTGACAAAGGTTTGTTTTACTAATTTTATTTCTGCTATAAGATCCCAGTGTTACTGCCAGAGATGTCTTATAACTATTGCCCAAATTTGGACCTAAAGGTTTTTTGTTTTGATAAAAGGCATTTAAGGGGTGAACTATGACTAATGAATATCTCAAAGAGGTAGGCAGGGTAAAAGCACACACTTTGTAGAAAAAGTCAGGTTTTCAAGGAAAATTAATTGTTCTTTCTGCCATAAGAAATTAAATCTCTATTTGCTATATAAGCATATGTATTACTAATGTAAATTTGCCTTTAGAAATGTTACTTTTTCACTGTCTCCACTGAGTGAATGATATTAGTATGTCTCTCAGTGAGGGCTTCCTTTTGCTGATTTTTCATCAGACTCGAATTCCTGCTGGGAAGTCTGCTGAGACTAAGGAAATGCAGCTCACCACTGAAACCCACAAGAAATCAGAGTTTTTCAAAGCTGTAAGGTAAGCTTAATAGCAACCCAGCTAGTATTAATTTTAGTATTTCTCTATCCTGTCAACCTACCTGTAGCCTTGATTTTTTTTTAAAGTAGAATTGATAGTAAGTTTTCAAGCTTTGAAAATTATTGATTTCTTGTGGTGAGATATTTTTACATGGTAAGCTGCATTTTCTAGACCTCAAACCTAGTAATTATATTGTCAGGATAATGGCTTCTCTATCTAGACGTTTTTCCTGTATACCTTAAGTGCATGTTAACTATAAGTGAATGTAAATAAATATGCATACATATGTGTTCATATACATACATATGTGAATATCTGGGATAAAAGGAATGGCTGTCCTAGTTTTACTTTCCTAGATGTAGGATTTTGGATATTAGGGTAAGTGAGAAGGAATGGAAGTAGATGGAATTTTAAAACACAATTATTAGGTTTTAAACCCTAGTATAAATACTAGAAAATTAAAAATAAATGACTTAGCTGAGCACAGTGGCTCACAACTATTATCTCAGCACTTTGGGAGGCCAAGGTGGGCAGATTGCTTTAGGCCCAGAGTTAGAGAACAGCCTGGCCAACATGACAAAACTCCATCTCTACTAAAAAAAAAAAAAAAAAAAAAAAGAATACAAAAATTATCCTGGCATGAGGGTGAATGCCTGTAATCCCAGCTACTCAGGAGATTGAGGCACGAGAATTACTTGAACCCAGGAGGCAGAGGTAGCAGTGAGCTGAAATTGCGCTGCTGTACTCCAGCCTAAGCAACAGAGCAAGACTGTCTCAATGAATGAATGAATGAATGAATGACTTTCTTTGTATTTCTCTTTTTTACCTTTGTGTGTAGTCCTCATTAACACTGAGAAACCCTGAGGTAAAGATTAGCAAGAATCAGCTCTAGGCAAGAATTCAGGAGCTATGTAAAGAAATGAAAAATAATTAAAAGTTTCTGAATGGTCAATGGAGACTCCTAATATGTGAAAAAGCCAAAGACTTCCAGGTCTTCTATGTATATAATTATTTTGATCTCATTTATTGTCATAATAGTGGTTGTCCATGTAAATTTTACTCTTCTCAGGTCCTTTCTGGCTTTGGATTACCAAGATGACAACCGGCTCAAGTGTAAATTTTTTATTTTGGTAATAATTATAGCTAATACTTATGTAGTGCTTACTGTTCTAAGTGTTTTATTAACTTATATAACCACCTGACAACTTTGTGAAGTCAGTGCTATTGTTATTTCCACTTTACATGAAGAAACTGAGGCACAGAGAAGTTTGGTAGCTCTTTCCAAGTCACTCAGTGAGCTGCTAAGCCAGGATTCCAACTCGCAAAAACCTAACTCAGAGTCCACACTTTCAACCACAGAAAAGTGCATAATACCTAAGCCAAACAGTACTACCTGGAAATATTTTTTAAAGTATCTTATTGTTGCATTTTATAAGACATCCAACTGAGAGTAGTCTTAGTATAAAAGTTATTTCAAGTTTGGAGAGTAGTATACTTTTTAAAAATAAGATTAAATTCATATGCAGTGAATTTCATACATATATGCAGTTCAGTGAGCTTTAACAAATGTAACCTACAGCTCAGTCAAGATATAGAACATTTCCATTGTCCTGAAAAGTTCCCCCGTGCTCCTCCAGTTAGTCCCCACTTTCACAGGCAACCACTCTTCTGGTTTCTGTCATCATAGACCGTTTTGCCTTTTCTTGACTTCATATAAGTGGAATCATACAGAATGGTAATATGTATGTATGTAACCTTTCTGTTTGTTTAGTTTTGCTTAATATATGCAAATCTATTTAGAGTATTTTTTATTTGGTCATTGCATTTTTTCTGAGAAGTTTGTTTTACATTATAAAGGAAACACTAGCTTTTTCTTTCTCTGCATTCTCCAACTGCACAGTAATAGTTTATGAATTACTTCCTTATATGCTGTGAAAACTATCTAATGTTAAGTAGACTTCTTTTTAAAATCAGACCATGTTAAAATCCTAATCTAGTTAGTTTCAGGAAATAATTAAAATACATACCTTGATTGTAGCAAAGACCCGTATCATTTCATCCATATTCAGTCTTTGTTATACCTTCCTTTCTGGGAGTTTTGTATAGCAGGTAAATTATGAAGAACATTATTGTTTTTCCCTTGAGAGGCACAATCCTAAGTGTCCTGGAAGAGCTTTCCTTCTTGGCTGCAGAATCTCAGAACTGATAGTGAGACCTTGCAGAGTCCAGCTTCCAATATCTTGGCTTTTGATTGGTTAAATAAACTTGTTAGAAGAGCCTTTCCATTCTTAAATGGTTCCACATGATAAAATGCTGACTTTGTTTCTTAATTCTTTATAATTTTCAAAGCTGCCAGAGTGTCTATTCAGATATAGTTTTATCAGAAGAAATTCAGGCCAGATTGACTATAGTTTAGTTCTGTGATCAAAGGCCATAACACCTTCCAAGTTTACTCCTAGGGTTTAAAGTTCATTGCTTTATCACGTCTTTTTTTTTTTTCCTCCTTCAAATGAAAAGGTTTCTTTTTCCTTGAATACATTTTTTGTTGCCTGGTACAGTGGCTTACACCTGTAATACCAGCACTTTGGGAGGCTGAGGCAGGTGGATTACCTGAGGTCAGGAGTTCAAGACCAGCTTGACCAACATGGTGAAACCCCCGTCTCTACTAAATACAAAAAATTAGCCAGGCATGGTGACACATGCTTATAATCCCAGCTACTTGGCCATCACCATCTTGGCCAGGCTGGTGTTGAACGCCTGACCTAGTGATCTACCTGCCTTGGCCTCCCAAAGTGCTGGGATTTTAGGCGTGAGCCACTGTGTTTGGGCAATTAATTAATTAATTAATTAATTTATTTATTTATTTTTTTGGAGAGGGATTTTCACTCTTGTCACCCAGGCTGAAATGTAGTGGCGACATCTCAGTTCACTGCAGCCTCTGCCTCCTGGGTTCAAACAATTCTCCTGCCTCAGTCTCCCAAGTTGCTGGGACTACAGGCATGCACCACCACACCTGGCTAATTTTTTGTATTTTTAGTAGAGACAGGGTTTCACCACGTTTGCCAGAATGGTCTCAAACCCCTGACCAGAGGTGATCTGCCCTCGGCAGCGTACCAAAATGCATTCCTTTTTATTTTATGGACTATAGCTGTGAAATAACTAAAAGCAAAGGTCAGGAAAGGAAGAAAATAAAAAGATGAAATAAAGGAAAGGTCCGTAATTCACCAATTATAACCAGCCTCTGCTTTTGTAAGAGTATTTACTACTTGAGTAAATTAGGAAATTTTCAATATTGAATAACAGTGGCAGACTAAACATGAATAATTATCAAGGAGATAGTTAGCTCTAGTATAAAGTTCAGTATTCTGCCAGAGAATCCTAGGGGACTCTTAGCCAGCTCAATCTTGAAAGAAAAAAATGTGATATGAGTTCTTCTTGGCCCCATTTTGTTGCTTCAGTGGCTTCACATTGGCTCATAAGGCCTTCACTTATTTCTTTCTCTTATTTCTTGCCAACTCATCAACAAAAACATAAATTTGTTTCTATTGTAGATGTCTGAAAAGTTAAAAATTAATATTTTATTAATGGAATACAAATTACAGAATTTGCTGGTGAGATAAACTATACATAGGTAAAACAGTTAGATCCTAGGCCAGGGGACATGGCTTACGCCTGTAATCCCAACACTTTGGGAAGCTGCGGCAGGCAGATTGTTTGAGGCCCAGAGTTCTAGACCAGCCTGGGCACCATGGCGAAATCCCGTCTCTACTAAAAATACAAAAATTAGGCCAGGCACAGTGGTTCATGCCTGTAGTCCCAGCATTTTGGGAGGCCTAGGTGGGCAGATCATTTGAGGTCAGGAGTTTGAAACCAGCTTGGCCAACATGGTGAAACCTCATCTCTAATAAAAATAAAAAAATTCTCCAGGCCTTGTGGTGCACGCCTGTAATTCTAGCTATTCAGGAGGCTAAGGTAGGAGAATCGCTTGAAGCCGGAAGCTGGAGGTTACAGTGAGCCGAGATCACACCACTGTACTCCACCCTGGTTAACACAACGAGACTCCTTCTCAAAAAAATAAAAATAGTAGCAATAAATAAACAAAAATACAAAAATTAGCCAGGCCTGGTAGCATACACCTGTAATCCCAGCTATTTGGGTAGCTGAGGCACAAGAATCACTTGAACCTGGGAGGTAGAGTTGCAGTGAGCCAAGATCATGCCACTGTACTTCCTCCTGGGTGACAAAGAAAAAATAATACGTCTAAGGTAATCATGTGCTGAACATGAATACTAAGGAAATTCAAAGATCTTTGACCAGTTTTTCTCCTGGGACTATCCCCATAGTAATTAAAGCACCAGTACATAGGACATAAAAGTACTAAGATATAACAGCAGCAAAAAGCTGAAAACTGTTTGAATTCCTACAGTATAGAAATGACTGAATAAGTTAAGGTTTATTCACCCCAAGAAATGGCATGGAGGCATCAAGCAGAATGAATTGATGACTTGAAGGGAGAGAATTCCATGACCTATTGTTATGTTAGAAAAGGAAGATACAAGGCCGGGCGCGGTGGCTCAAGCCTGTAATCCCAGTACTTTGGGAGGCCGAGGCGGGTGGATCACGAGGTCAAGAGATCGAGACCATCCAGGTCAACATGGTGAAACTCCGTCTCTACTAAAAAAAATATACAAAAAATTAGCTGGGCATGGTGGCGCGTGCCTGTAATCCCAGCTACTCAGGAGGCTGAGGCAGGAGAATTGCCTGAACCCAGGAGGCGGAGGTTGCGGTGAGCCGAGATCGCGCCATTGCACTCCAGCCTGGGTAAAAAGAGCGAGACTCCGTCCCAAAAAAAAAAAAAAAAGAAAAAAAAAGAAAAGGAAGATACAGAAAAGAGTGTGTAGTATCCCATTTTGTAAAATAGTAATGACCCAAAAAGCCCCAAATGCATGTATGTGTATGTATTATGACCATGTGAGTGGTGAGAAAACTCAGAAAAGATACATGCTAGATTACAAACCTGGTCAAGGTGTCGATGTGAGTAGGAGGAGGGAATAGCAGTAAGGAGCCAAACAATGAAGGAAAGAGGGAAAAATATTTAAAGAATTCAGTCTTCATTTATATACAACTACAGGGTGTCTGTATAGAAGGAAGTGAAATAGTTACCTTTTTAAAATTCAAAGGGCACTGGGCACGGTGGCTTACACCTGTAATCCCAGCACTTCGGGAGGCCAAGGCAGGTAGATCATCTGAGTTCAGGAGTTCAAGACCAGCCTAGCCAATATGGTGAAACCCTGTCTCTTCTAAAAATACAAAAAATTACCCAGGTGTGGTAGTCCGTGCCTGTAATCCCAGCTACTCAGGAGGCTGAGGTGGGAAAATTCCTTGAGCTCAGGAGGCAGAGGTTGCAGTGAGCCGAGGTGGTGCCACTGTATTCCCACCTAGGTGACAGAGTGAGACCCTGTCTCAAAAAAAAAAAAAAAAAAAAATTCAAAGGGATAAATCAGTATTACTTAGGCTAATCAAGAAAACTTTTTGAATAAGAAGAGTCTGAAAACAAACATGTATTAAGCCAAGATTTTGGAGTGGAGTTAGTGTGGCGGGAGAAGAAATTTTAGAAGACACATTGTAAGCAAGATAATAAAGAAAGAATAGATTTTTTACTTATGTAATAAATAAGGAATTAATTGCAGAATAATTGGGGCAGTGATTAAGAAAAAGTTGGCCAAGTCAGCAAAGGTCCTGTATTGTATAGTTTCATTATGTGAAATCTCTGCCATAGGCAAATCCGTAGAGACAGATAATAGATTAGGTATTGCCAAGGACTAGGGGGATTGTCAGAAAATGGGGAGTGACTGCTCATGGACATGGAGTTTTTTTAATTGCGATGTTCTAAAATTCATTGTGGTGATAGTTGCACAATTCTGTGACTATATCAGAAGCTCTTGAAATATATACTTTATTTTATTTATTTAATTTTTTCGAGATGGAGTCTCACTTTGTTGCCTAGGCTGGAGTGCAGTGGTAGGATCTTGGCTCACTGCAACCTCCACCTCCCAGGTTCAAGCGATTCTCCTGGCTCAGCCTCCCAAGTAGCTGGGATTACAAGCATGCACCACCACACCTAATTTTCATATATTTTTTTTTTAGTAGAGGTGAGGTTTCACCATGTTGGCCATGCTGGCCTTGAACTCCTAACCTCAGGTGATCACCCGCCTTGGCCTCCCAAAGTGCTGGGATTACAGGCATGAGCCACCTCAGCTACTCGGGAGGCTGAGGTGGGAGAATTGCTTGAGTCCAGGAGGTGGAGGTTGCAGTGAGCCAAGATCATGCCACTGCACTCCAGCCTGGGCAACAAGAGGGAAACTCTGTCTCAAAAATAAATAAATAAATACATGCATGCACATGCACGCACACACCCACGTATATATATACACACACACACATACACACAATGAATATAACTGAGTGAGTAAAAGAGTGCACCAAAGACCTGGAAGCAACCTAAGGGGTCCATGATTCCAGTTTTCAGGTAGAACCACATTCAACTATCATTTCTTCCAAACTTTTGCAATGGAATAGAAATTTGAAACCTGGGTTATCTCCTTAATTCCCCATGTGCTATAAGGAAATTTGGTACAAATTGAACAGTTGGACTTTAGTATCTCCATCTAATATTAAACTACCTTAAGGGCCAGGCATGGTGCCTCATGCCTGTAATGCCAGCACTTTGGGAGGCCAAGGTGGGCGAATCACGAGGTCAGGAGTTCAAGACCAGACTGGCCAACATGGTGAAATCCTGTCTCTACTAAAAACCCCGTCTCTTCTACCTCTACCTCTTGGGAGGCTGAGGTAGGAGAATTGCTTGAACTGAGACTCAGGAGGCGGAGGTTGCAGTGAGCCAAGATTGCACCACTGCACTCCAGCCTGGGCTACAGAGCAAGACTGCATTTCAAAAAAAAAAAAACTACCTTAAGTACTTTGGCACTGCAGAAATGTAAAGCACCACTTTTATTTTTCATTTCTAGGGGAGGTAACTCCAGGACTATCTCAGGTGGAATATGCACTTCGCAGACATAAACTAATGTCTCTGATCCAGAAGGAAACACAAGGACAGAGTGGGACAGACCAGACAGTGGTTGTGCTCTCCAACCCTACATACTACATGAGCAACGATATTCCCTATACTTTCCACCAAGACAACAATTTCCTGTACCTGTGTGGATTCCAAGAGCCTGATAGTATTCTCGTCCTTCAAAGCCTCCCTGGCAAACAATTACCATCACACAAAGCCATACTTTTTGTGCCTCGGCGAGATCCCAGTCGAGAACTTTGGGATGGCCCACGATCTGGCACTGATGGAGCAATAGCTCTAACTGGAGTGGATGAAGCCTATTCTCTAGAAGAATTTCAACATCTTTTACCAAAAATGAAAGGTAACAAATGGGAGCAGAAGTCACATTACAAACCAGATTGGGTCTTGCCTGTTTAGAGAAGTCCTTAATTTCATTATCGTAGCACCACCATTTCTTCAAGATTGCTGACCAGCTTCTTGATATTTGACTACTACTTCTTATCTTAGTGCTCTTGCCAAATCCTCAAAAGGAGGTACTGTTCTCCAAGAATGATCATCACAGCATCAGAATCGCCTGGCAATCCATATTAAAATTAAAAATGTGTAATATGTAATAGGCAGTAAAATCTCAGGTCTCTACCTTATAGCTACTAAATCAGAATCTGCATTTTAACAAGATCCTTATGTGGTTCATAAACAGTTGAGTTCTTTTTTTTTTTTTTTTTTTTTTTTCTTTTGAGGCAGAGTCTCACTCTGTCCCCCAGGTTGGAGTATAGTGGCACAGTGATGGCTCACTGCAACCTCAAACCCCAAAGCACAGTCTTCCTGCCTCAGCCTCCAAAATATAGGGACCACCTGGGCACACCACCACATCTGGCTAATTTTTAAAAATTTTTTGTAGAGACGGACTTTCATTTTGTTGCCTAGGCTAGTTTTGAACTTCTGGTCTCAAGGGAGTCCTACCTTGGACTCCCGAAATGCTAGGATTACAGATGTGTTGCACCGTGCCTGGCCACAGTTGACTTCTTGTCCCTCAAAGAAATTACTTTCTCTGTAGTTCCTCTGGTGAAATTTTAATCAGTCTGAATGTTTTGAGATTTTTCTTCTGGGAATTTTTTTCAGAAACTACACCACATTATATAGTTTACATATCTAGTTTATATATATAATATTTTTTTTTTTTTTTTTTTTTTTTTTTTTTTTTTGAGACGGAGTTTCGCGCTCGTTACCCAGGCTGGAGTGCAATGGCACGATCTCGGCTCACCGCAACCTCCGCCTCCTGGGTTCAGGCAATTCCCCTGCCTCAGCCTCCTGAGTAGCTGGGATTACAGGCACGCACCACCATGCCCAGCTAATTTTTTGTATTTTTAGTAGAGACGGGGTTTCACCATGTTGACCAGGATGGTCTCGATCTCTTGACCTCGTGATCCACCCGCCTCGGCCTCCCAAAGTGCTGGGATTACAGGCTTGAGCCACCGCGCCCGGCCACTATATATTTAGTTTATACTATCTTTAGTAATTCTTATAAAACTTTAGCTCTGGGAAGCGTTTTATTTTTTGAAGTATCTTAGGAGATAGATGATCAAGTTTAGAAATACTGATTTTAGGGCAAGATAATATATAACTGTAAAGTTTTTGTTTGGTTTTTCTTATATGGCTCATAAATCATTTCTGAAGTTAGCTTCTAAAAGAGAATTCCAAAAATGTTTCTCACAATCATGAAATATATTAGACTGTTTCCTATAAAGACTCTTTTGGAAGAAAAGACTCATTTGAGGTCAGGAGCCGTGGCTCACGCCTGTAATCCTAGCACTTTGGGAGGCCAAGGCTGGTGGATCACGAGTCAGGAGATCGAGACCATCCTGGCCAACATGGTGAAACCCTGTCTCTACTAAAAATACAAAAATTAGCTGGGCATGGTGGCACACACCTATAGTCTCAGCTACTCAGGAGGCTGAGGCATGAGAATCACTTGAACCCCAGAGGCAGAGGTTGCAGTGAGCTGAGATTGTACCACTGCACTCCAGCTTGGTGACAGAGTGAGACTGTCTCAAAAAAAAAAAAAAAGAAAGAAAAAATACTCATTTCAATTTGTCAGTTCTAATATGTTTGATTAAATTCATTTTATTACTTTATAGAAATATTTTCTATTTTATAGATAACTAGCCTGTTCAATTCATTGAACTTTCTTGTGTCTTCAAAATCCACGTAAATTGAGGCATAGAATCATTTTCTTTGTAGCTTTTTTATTTCTTGCATTGATAGTTGTCATATTCTACTGTCTAAATTTCATTAACTCAGTATAGTTACAATCTCATGTAAAATAAATTTCTCAAAAGTACTTTTCAGTCACCATTCTTAATATTAGCCGAAATCATATTTTTTAAAGGCTAAAAAACCTTTGAAAAAGTGAGCTATGATTTCATACACTGTGAACAGGTAGTAGAGGTTGTTTTACTTAAATTATAACAATTGGCCAAGTACAGTGGCTCACGCCTGTAATCCCAGCACTTTGGGAGGTCAAGGTGGGCAGATTGCCTGAGGTCAGGAGTTTGAGAACAGTCTGACTAACATGGCGAAACCCCCGTCTTTACTAAAAATACAAAAAAAATGGCTGGGCATGGTGGCGTACACCAGTAATCCAGCTAATTGGGAAGCTGAGGCAGGGGAATTGCCTGAACCAGGGAGGTGGAGGTTACAGTGGGCTGAGATCATTCCACTGCACTCCAGCCTGGTCAACAAAGTGAGACTCTGTCTCAAAAAAAAAAATATATATATGACAATTAAATTTTCGTCTATTATAAGTAGGATAAGTGTTTCCCATGTAATACACATTCAAAACCATTTTTATTTTAAAAATGAAAATATACAGGACATAGGATCACTAGTGCATATCCAATCAAAGTTTTCTGGACTTTTTTCCCCTCTAGTTTCCCCAAAGTACCTTTTAGTCATATAAAACGTACAGACCTTCTCACTTGGATTGTTGGGAATACTGTTCCTAGCCTACTGTTAGAAAGAAAAAGTACAAATGTAGATCTATCTGCTGTTAAGTGCAAATCATTTTCATAATGAGCCTTTATATTGTACATCTTAGGCAAATATAGACCATTTCCTTAGGTGTCTAAAGTTGAAAAGTGAGCTGTGATTGTTTACAAAGAGAATGTGTAGCAGTTGTAAAGGGAGAAGTCCGGAAATATCAACTGTAGTGTTTTGGTTTTTTTTTTCTTTTTTAAATATTTTTCATTTTTTTTTTTTTTAAGACTGGATTTTACCATGTTTGTCAGGCTGGTCTTGAACTCCCGACCTCAGATGATCCACCCACCTTGGCCTCCCAAGTGCTTGGATTACAGGCGTGAGCCACTATACCTGGCCAACTGTAGTGTTTACATAGCAATGAATAATTGCTCCAGAATGGGAGGAGAAACCTTTCCCCAGTACTGAGATCATTATGTGAAAGGATGGGACACTTTACCCATAAAGTCATGATCTGAGTATGTTTTTCTGTCCTTTTGTGTACAATTATTCAGCAAGTGCCTCAGCTCAATAAGTGATGGTGAAGAACAGTTGTTTTAATTGTTTTTTAACAATAAATAATGAAGGCTGGGTGCAGTGGCTCAACGCATATTATCCCAGCATTTTGGGAGGCTGAGGCGACTGGATCACAAGGTCAGGAGTTCGAGACCACCCTGGCCAACATGGTAAAACCCCTGTCTGTATTAAAAATACAAAAATCAGCCGGGCGTGGTAGCGTGCACTTGTAGTCCCAGGTACTTGGGAGGCTGAGGCAGATGAATCACTTGAACCCAGGAGGCGGAGGTTGCAGTGAGCCAAGATCGTGCCACTGCACTACAGCCTGGGCAACAGAGGGAGACTCTGTCTCACAAAAAAACAATAAATAATGAAATCAAAGCTTGAATAAAGCTTTAGTCCCATCTGTCATCCTTTATAAAGAACACTGAAGTTTAGGGGCAGAAAAGCTGTATATTCGGTATTAGAATATCTTGCAGCTTCCAGGAAATTACCTTCCTAGTGATTTATAATCAAACCTTCATTGCTGCAGTCCTGAGAGAGTTTTACTCTCAACACTTTAGAGTTCCACATTACAGGTTTTATACTTTTGACTCTTGTTCCAGTCGTTATGACGGTTGAGATTTCTTCTTGTTGGTAGTTTTGTTTTAAATTTATTTTTTGGCTTCTCATTCTAAGCTGAGACGAACATGGTTTGGTATGACTGGATGAGGCCCTCACATCCACAGCTTCACTCTGACTACATGCAGCCCCTGACTGAGGCCAAAGCCAGGAGCAAGAACAAGGTTCGGGGTGTTCAACAGCTGGTACAGCGCCTCCGGCTGATCAAATCTCCTGCAGAAATTGAACGAATGCAGATTGCTGGGAAGCTGACATCACAGGTATGATTCCTATTGAAAATGATTTTTTCCAGATTGGAAAAATTATAAACTCTTAAGATTCAGTAAGCACCTTGGGGCCGTATACCCAGTGCAGTCTTCTCACAGGCAGATGGGCATCTAGCTTCTGCTGCAGTGTGTAATGAACATACCTAGAGACTTGCTTAATACCTTGTAAGGCAAAGTAAATGTGCCTTCTGTTAAGATTGTTCTTTTACTCATCCATCTTTGTTGTTGCTGTTCTTGTTGTTGTTTTGAGATAGAGTTTTGTTCTTGTTGCCCAGGCTGGAATGCAATGGCATGATCTCAGCTCACGGCAACCTCCACCTCCTGGGTTCAAGTGATTCTCATGCCTCAGCCTCCCGAGTAGCTGGGATTACAGGCATGTGCCACCATGCCTGGCTAATTTTGTATTTTTAGTAGAGATGGGTTTTATCCTTGTTGGTCAGGCTGATCTTGAACTCCTGACCTGAGGTGATCCACCCATCTCAGCCTCCCAAAGTGCTGGGATTACAGGTGTGAACTACCATGCCCAGCTTACCCATCAATCTTCTCTCTCCTTGGAACAACAGAAATTAATTCTGTTTCCTTTCTTTATAGTTACACTAATAGTGTCATTTAAACAGTTTGGTTTCTAAGAAAGACTCAGGACCCAAAGTGACAGTGCTTACAGATCTGCAGTTTATTATAGGAAAAGGGTACAAAATAACCACAGTACAGAAGTAAGGATATATAGCACAGCCAATGGCTGTTTCAAAGCAAGGAGCGCAGAGAAGATAGGTGCTGGCTTCTATGGTCTTCCTTAGGCAAGGGCCAGGTAGAATGTATCTTTCTCTTACAGATTAGGAATCACAGTGTTGTCATACTCTGCTCAGGCTACCATAACAAAACAATCTTCATGGCTTAAGCAAGAGAAATTTATTGTCTCATAATTTTGCAGTATGGAAGTCTGAGATTAGGGTGCCATCATGGTCCGTTTCTGGTGAGGGCTCTCCCGGCTTACAAGAAAGTCACTCTCTTGCTGTGTCCTTACATGACAGGGAAAGAGGGCCTTCTTATAAGTCCATAGTCCCATTAGATTAGAGCCCCACCCTTAATTGCCTAATTTAACCTTAATTACCTCCTAAAGACATAGAGATTGGAGCTTAAACACATTAATTCTGGGGGAAACACAATTCAGACCATAGCACATACACAGAATACCTCAGGATCAGAGACCCCAAAATGGAATCTCAGCTAGGGATTTTTGTTTTTTTGATCACATAGTCATATTCCTGCTATGTAATGGTAAAGCCACCAAGAGGTCTCACAGAGACCAAGTGTAAACCATAAATCTCACCGGCAAACTGATACAGACTACCCCAAAACTCCGTATTTCATTTATTCTCTCCAAAGTGTTGGCCATTGACTTAATTTAAATATTTTTTAACTGTGGTGAACTATGCATAACATAAAAGAAGCTATTTTAACCATTTTTAAGTATGAAATTCAGTGACATTAAGTATATTCACATTCTTGTGCAGCCATCACCACTTTTCCATCATTCCAAATCGAAGCTATACACATAAATAATACCCTCCCATTCTCCCCTTCTGCAGCCCCCAGTAACCTCTACTTTCTCTATAAATCTACCTATTTGGTGTGGAATCATACAACATTGGCTTTTTGTGACTGGCTTATTTCACTAAGCATAATGTTTTTAAGGTTCATCCATTAGAATTTCATTCTTTTTTTTTTTTCTCTTTTGTGACAGAGTCTTGCTCTGTTACCCAGTCTAGAGTGCAGTAGCATGATCATAGCTCACTGTAGTCTCGACCTCCTGGGTTCAAGTGATCCTTCCACCTTAGCCTCCCAAGTAGCTGAGACCACAGGCACATGCCACCATGCCTGCTAATTTTTTAAATTTTTTGTAGAGACAGAGTCTCTCAATGTTGTCCAGGCTCAAACTCCTGAGCTCAAGCAATCCGCCCACATCAACCTCCCAAAATGCTGGGATTACAGGTATGAGCCGTAGTGCCCAGCCTCATTCTTTTTAAAGACTGAATAATATTTCATTATATGCGTATGCCATATTTTATTTGTCCATTCATCTATTGATAAACATTTGGTTTCTGTCTCTTTTTTATTATTGTGAATAATGTTGCTGTGAGCATAAATGTACAAATATCTTCTGTTCAAGTGTCTTTTAATTCTATTTGGTATATTCACACAACTGGAGTTACCAGATCAAACTGTAATTCAATGTTTAATATTTTGAAGACCGCCATACTGTTTCCCATAGTGGCTACACCATTTCATGTTCCCACTAGCAGTGCACCACGTGTTCTAATTTCTCCACTCTACACCAACACTTGTTCTGTTTTTATGGTAACAACCAATCCTAATGGGTGTGAAGTCATATCTTACCTTGGTTTGGATTTTCATTTCCCTGATGATTAGTGGTGTTGGGCATCTTTTTATGTGCTTATTGCCTTCCTAATCCTTTTTTTTTTCTTTTTGAGAGGGTCTCACTCTTATTGCTCAGGTTGGAGTGCCTGGTGAGATCATAGCTTGCTGCAGCCTTGAAGTCCTGGACTTAGGGGATCCTCTTGCCTCAGCTTCCTGAGTAGCTTGGATTACAGGCACATACAACCATGCCTGGCTAATTTTTTAGGTTTTTGTAGAGATAGAGTCTCACTGTATTGCCCAGTCTGGTGTTGAACTCCTGGCCTCATAAGATCTTTCATCCTCAGCCTCCCAAAATACTAAGATCACAGGCATGAACCACCCCGCCCAGCTTCCTCTTAACATTTTCAATCACTATGTTTCCTGCCATGCCTTGACCAAGGAAGGAACTTCAGCAAAATAGTCCTGGCTGATTTTAGGCCTGGAATTAGCAGAACAGTTCACTCTACCCCATAACCAATATTAATTCTATTTTTTGATAAAACAATAATCCTGAGTTGATAAGAGTTACTTTATAATATCTTATAGATAATCAAAATACATAGACCAGAAGGGCATAGTGGCTCACCCCTGTAATCTCAGCACTTTAGTAGGAGGCCAAGGTGGGAGGATCACATGAGGCAGCAAGGAGCTGGAGACCAGCCTGGGCAACATAGCAAGACCTCATCTCTACAAAAAAATGTTTTTAATTAGCCAGGCATTGTGGCATATGCTTGTAGTCCTAGCTACTGTGGAGGCTGAGGCAGAAGGATCACTTGAGCCCAAGAGTTTCAGGTTACAGCGAAGTATTATCACACTACTGCATCCCAGCCTGAGTGACAGAGCAAAACCCTGTCTCTAAAAAAATGCATACACAGAATCCAAACATTTACAGTGACTATTGAAGGGTTGTTACTGATTTAAACAGACAGCTGATTTATCCAATTACACTTTCTTATGTCTTTTCTATGAATTGTACAATCCTTTGGCCTCCCTGATCTACCATTTTCTGCATTTTATGGTGTATAGCTGCTGAATTATTAAAAACAATAATTTATCATTAATGAAGTCTAAATATTCATCAAGCCAATTCTCCTCCATAGGGGTAACATTCTAAGAGGACTTTAATTCAGTCTCTCAATATATTTGATCATCATCATTAGTAAGTATTATACTAAAGTTTATAAGCTCCTAAAATCTGAATTTTACCTGATTACTATATTACATCATATAGCAGTATCATTGAAGTTAGAAGTCAGACAAAATTTAGCTGCTAAAGGCTTACGTTAAAATAAAAATTAAGGCCAGGCGTGGTGACTCACGTCTATAGTCCCAGCACTTTGGGAGGCTGAGGCAGGAGAATCACTTGAGCTGAGAAGTTCAAGACCAGCCTGGGCAACATGGAGAGACCCTGTCGCTACAAAAATTTTTTTTAAATAGCCAGTCTTAGTGGTCCCATCTACTTGGGAAGCTGAGGTAGGAGGATCACTTGAGCTGGGGCAGTTGAACCTGCGGTGAGCTGTGATCATGCCACTGCACTCTAGCCTGGGCAACAGAGCAAGACCCCATCTCAAAAAAGAATAATAACATTTTAAAAAATAAATTTAAAATTAAAAAAGATGGCTGGATGCAGTGGTTCACGCCTTAAATCTCAACACTTTGGGAGGCCAAGGCGGCAGATCTCTTGAGCCCAGGAGTTCAAGACCAGCCTGGGCAACATGGTGAAACCTTGTCTCTGCAAAATACAAAAAAATTAGCTGGGCATGATAGTATGCACCTGTTAGTCCCTGCTACTTGGGAGGCTGAAATGGGAGGATCACTTGAGCCCAGGGAGGTTGAGGCTGTAGAGAGCTGAGACTGCACCACTGTACTCCAGCCTGGGTGACAGAGTAAGACCTTGTCTCAATAAAGAAAGAAATAAAAGAAGACAAAAATCATGGTGTAATTATTTTGTCCCTCCCTATGCAATTTACGTCTTCTTATATACCATATGTTATTTCTCATAGGAGTCTAGATCAGAGGCCATATCTCTGCTATTTCAAGATTCAACACATCTTGAAAACAGCCAAATTCCTTCTCGAAAAGTTACGTGATATGACTGGATGTGGTGGCTCACGCCTATAATCCCAGCACTTTGGGAGGCCAGGACAGGTGGATCACTTGAGCCCAGGAGTTTGAGGCCAACCTAGGCCACATAGTAAGACCTCATTTCTACAAAAAAAAATTTTTTTAATTAGCTGGTTGTGGTGGCACACACCTGTAGTCCCAGCTACTTGGGAGGCTGACGTGGGAAGATCACTTGAGCCCAGGAAGTCAAGGCCGCAGTAAGCCATGATCATGCCACTGTACTCTGTCTTAGGTGACAGAGTGAGACCCTGTCTCAAAAAGTTACATGGTTTCACAGATGTTGACCTGGTTTCACAGATGTTGATTCGCAGTGAGAAGGGTCCTGCAACAGAACTCATTTATCTACCACCGGAAACACTCATCCTGTTTAAAATTTGTCCAGGACCCACAGACTTGCACTATAGGAAAAGAATGGTTGGCACTCAGTTGCAATGTTGTAGCTGTTAAAAAGC